AGACCTGATGTTCGAGCGCTCCCTGGACTACAGCTATGGAGGTGACTTTGTGGCCCTAGACAGAATGGCCAAGTATGAGATCTCTGCCCTGGAGGGGGGCCTGCCCCAGCTCTACCCGCTTCGGCCCTTGCAAGAGGACAAGATGCAATACCTACAGGTGAGCACACGGCAGGGGGAGAGGCAGCGCCTGCAGGTGGGGGTGTCCTGACCTGCCCGAGCTTCTCCACTAGGAGCTCCTCTCACCCTCTGCAGCTGCGGGGGGTGGCTATCGCCATCCCAAGCTGGGCTGGCCAAAGGCCACACAACCTGTGTGGGTGGGCCCCAACTGCCACCCCCATGATCCCTGTCTCCTGCGTTATCTCCTGCGGTCCCAGTGTCCTCAAGGAGCCCCCTCCCCAACCGACCCCAGCTACCTGCACAGTGCTGCGTCTGGGCCGCCAAGCCTCACAATCTCCCAGCCAGGCTGCCCTGGCCCGCGGACTGGTCCCTGACCCACGGAAGGCCCTTCCCCGGGGTGGGGAAGAGTTTGTCCCCGTTTTCCAGGAGGGCAGCTGGGGGTAAAAGCCCACCGCGTCCTGACAGGTCCCACCCACGCGGCGCTTCTCCCACGACGACGCGGACGTGTGGGCCGCCGTCCCGCTGCCCGCCTTCCTGCCGCGCTGGGGCTCCGGTGAGGACCTGGCTGCCCTGGCGCACCTGGTGCTGCCTGCTGGGCCCGAGCGGCGCCGCGCCAGCCTCCTGGCCTTCACGGAGGACGCGCCCCCATCCCGCCCCCGCCGCCGCTCGGCCGAGAGCCTGCTGTCGCTGCGGCCCCTGGCTCTGGATGGCGGCCCGCGGCGGGCCCGCAACTTGCCGCCTGGCAGCCCCGGCAGCCCGCGCCGCCGCCCCGGGCCCGGCCCCCGCTCCGCCTCGGCCTCGCTGTTGCCAGACGCCTTCGCCCTGACCGCCTTCGAGTGCGAGCCACAGGCCCTGCGCCGCCCGCCCGGACCCTTCCCGGACGCGCCCGACCGCACCGACCCCGGAGAGGCCCCGACGCCCCCAGGCAGCGCCCAGCGGAGCCCGGAGCCGCGTCCAGCTGCGCACGCGCACGGCGCCCCCCTACGCCCGGGCCTGAGCGCGTCGTGGGGTGAGCCCGGGGGGCTGCGCGCGGCGGGCGGTGGCGGCAGCACCAGCAGCTTCCTGAGCTCACCCTCTGAGTCCTCAGGCTACGCCACGCTCCACTCGGACTCCCTGGGTTCGGCGTCCTAGGACACCAGCGCCTCCCCACGGACGTCAGGCAGGCCGGGCCGCTGGTGGGGGTCACACCACCAAAGATGCCGCCTCCGCTCCACGCGCAGACACGTGCCACCCCTTGCAGGGGTGAGAGGGCATGAGCCTCGGCGTTTGTTTTCCGGCTCCTCCCAGCTGGCCTTGTCCCGAGGGTGGCAGCTGCCCTGGACTACTGCGCTGGACATGGTATCTCCGGAGCTGAGTGAGGCCGCCACTGGACAGCTGAGTGACGTTCCAAGCTTGGGCTTGGGTAGTGAGTGATGTGCACGTCCAGCTTCACCATCACCAGCCCTGGGTAACAGGACTGGGGAAGTAGGGAACCCTGAGACACGGCCACCTGGGGACGGAACAAAACCCTGCCTTGGAGAGGCTGAGCTGGAGCCACGGGCTGGCCCAGGCTTTCCACCACATTGCACGTAACTGCCACACCCAGGGAATGGGTGGGTGGGGGGTACAAAAGGTCTCTAAGCACAGGGGTCTTCAGAACCCCAACAGGCTCTGATCAGGTCCTTTCCTGCCTCAGTTTCCCCATCTGTGATGAGCAGGTGACATTAACTCTCAGGGCTGTTTGAAGTCTCTTGGTCATGGACCTTGGCCACTGAGTGACCCAGGTGTGAGAGGTAGTCTAGGGCCCTTTGTGGCCTTTGCAGAGGTTCATTTTCAGCATGTGGCCTGGTGTGGCCCCTCCCCAGGCTTGAGGCCTCTCTATGACCCCTTGCCCCCTTGGGAACCCACACTCCACCCCAGCTAAGCACAACACACTGCATCACCAACATTGGCACCTCAGCCACCTTGACCACCATTAGTGTCCCTACCCTCATTACTCTGCCATGGTTGCCTGTCCCCATCACATCAGCACTGCTACTCCCACCCCTGTGGCTCCCACCATGACACTAGCAGGTGCAGGTGGAGAGCATGAGGGCAGCAGGGCCTGGGCTTCCGTGTCCCCACGTCATCCACAGCCTCACTCCCCACCTGTGCAGGCCTGGCCAGGAAGGGATCCTGGCAGAGGCTTCTGGGTTCTCAGCTCAAGACCTGGCCCTGGGCAAGCGTCTGATACCCTGGGAGCAATGCATTTCTTTGCCTTCCTCCTCAGCAGACCCCTTACAGGCCTGGGCATTGCCATGGGCCCTGCATCTTCCCAGGCTAAGGAGAGCCAGGAACAGTTACAACTTTGAGCTGGTGAAATAGGGCAGATACAAAGGCTGTCTCCTTCAGACCCTTCAACGTGAAGACCTGAGGCAGTTTCCAAGGTCAGCATAGAGCCTGCCCGTGCCCAATCCCTCTGGTCCTCAGGTGGCCAAGCTCATCTTGTCACCCTTCAGATAGGGTCCCACTCCCAGAAGCAGCTGCTGGGGTGGGGGGCTGCCTAAGTCTGTCTCTGCTTCAGAGGGCTCTCTAGTCCCTGGCTGTGGGGTAACGGGGTATGAGCTGGCCACAGGTGAGCAAGGCAGGGAACTGCAATCCAGCCCTGGCCACAGGAGGGGCCATCTGTGGCCAGTGCTGCTGTGCCTTCAAGGACTAACGTTATGCAGGGGCAGAGGTCACCAGCTAGCCATCGTCTCCTCCATCTGGGGGTCATCTGTCCACTTGTCACCTTAGGTTTTCACTCATTTGTCACTTTAGGTTTTTGCTCTGTGTTTCATATCCAATGGCAATACTTGCAGGGGGACAGAGTCCTCCAAATCCCTCCAGTCCTGCAGTTTTTACAAAAATAAATGGGAGGACCTCAAGTGGAGGACCCTGGGCCTGGAGCTCTCTCCCACACTTTGTCCAGCCTCTAGGCCTGTTTGCTGCGTTTCTAAGGAACCTGACCCTGGCTAACTGGGGAGGGAGCTGTCTTCATAGCACACACAGAGCCAGGGATTCCTTTGTAGTTTTTTTTGACAATTGAGTATTTCTCTTCTGTACAGGACCCAATAAAAACTTCCTTACGATTTGCACCTGGCATTCCAAGGCCGCTTTCATGGAAAACCCTTCTAACCTCACAGCAGGGCTGGCCAGCTGCCCCTTAATATATTCCTCTGGAACCTGAGTTCCTCTGATAATATGCCATTTTGGGTGGTCGGACTTGCTCTGTCTTCAGGCAAATGTTCTAGTCCCTCTAGCAAGTGAGGAGTGAGATGGTCCTGGAGGAGCCACAGGATGAGGCAGAAAGGCCCTATTAGCCCAGGTGGCAGCCCTTGCCCCAGGAATGGCACCTGGGGCTGCTAGTCACCGTGAGCTTGATTGAAGAGAGCAAACAGAGCAGGGCGATAGGAGCTGGGCCTAAGCCTCCTGGGACCTGTTGAGCCCCTGTTCCTCTCGTGGCCCCTCCGGAATTTGGAGGAAGGACCTTTGGGTCTGCAGTGCAACACCGCCACCCGGTGGACGGGAGAGGGATTTGTCCTGACCGCTCCCCGTTCCACTCCACACCGCGGGAAGCGCAGACCCGAGAGCCCGCCCTGGACGGTGACAGCCAGGACCCCTACCCTCGCCCCAGCTCCAGCGAGCCCGCTAGGCGCGATGGTGGAGCCGGTCTTCTGAAGCACCGTGGGTCCTTCTCCACGCGTTTGGACCAGGGCAAGTTTAGTGCACCTGAAGACCAGGGCCGCCCAAAAAGAGAAGAGCTTCTGTAGAAAGTTATTTATGGTTCAAAAAGATGCACCTAAGTAGGCATCGCAGGGGTGGGAGACACTAGACCCCTGGTGTCCTCTTGATACCCACTTCACAGATTCGCGCTGGTTTTATTATTATGAATTACAAGCTGTCGGGAGGACGTGCCGGGATCTCTGATCCCACAACCCAAGCTGCCCCTCGATGGCCCGGACTCCTGAGCCAGAAGCCCAGGGGAAGAAAATCTGACTTCACTACCTAAAGTCCGAACGCAGCAGTAACCTCATTTATCGACCAATCAAGTAGCGCCACGCGGCTGTACTGAGTTTGGATTCTCCCGCAGCCCTAGGGATCTGGAGCTGCGGGGTCTACGGGGTCTGGGCCCGGAATGTGGGCCAGGGTCTTTGTCTGGCGGAAGGCGTGCCCCTCTCCCACGAGAGGCACCGGGTTCATTCTACAGCCCTCAAGCTGGCGCCACCAACTGAGGAATCGCGTGGGGCGGGGCGTCCGGTGCATCTTGTGGGGGCGGGGGGGTCTTCGGAGAAATGAGGGCTTCGGAGAAGGCGCCAGCCGGGTGGGCAGCGCCGCTGGCGGAGGAGGTCGTTGGAAGCCGAGAGGGTCCCGGGTCGGGGGAGGCTGGGGGCCCCTCGCCGGCGGGGCGGGGCCAGGCGCGCTTTGTGCCGGTGGGAACCGGGCGCCCGCGGTCCGCTGAATGGGCCGGGGCGGGGCAGCGATTCTCCTCGCTGCGAGGGGTCCCCTCTGCGCTGCTGCCAACTGCGACCTTCCCACCGCTGCGCGGCAGCCGAGCGGGGGCGTGGCGGGAGGGCTACCCGCCAGGGGCCCCTGGGAAAGAGGCGCAGCCCAGGACACCCCCTCCCAGCCCCTCCGGAGGATGGGTGGAGAGTGAGCAGTCCGGCGTGTGCAGGTGGAGCTGGAGTGGGGGTGGATTAGGTCCAGACGCGCAGACCCAGTCCTACAGGGCTCAGGGTACTTCTCTGCGCTGGCGTGTGCGCGGCCCTCTCCAAGCCACCCCAACCCCAGGACCAGAACGGACGACTGGGGGCTCCTGGCAGTCACTGTGGGCGAGTTCAAAGTAGTCCCTGTGTCCCCAGACCACATAGGGAGCGCCTTCAGTCCCCGCCATCCTGGGGCTTCACCAGGGCCGCCACACGCGCAGGCCCAGCCCGGGGCTCTCGGCGCAGCGACTCGACGCTGGCTGCGGCGGGAGGACGCTGGAGGATGAGCCAGGGAGACTTCCGGGGGGGAGGAGGAGGAGTGGTGGGGACCGCGGGCCGCTGGCGGCCGGAGTAGGAGCCCAGACCGCGGGGGTGCAGGGGCCGCAAAGCCCGGGCGCCTCCTGGCCAGGCCCGGCGCTGTCCATGGTGCTGCCGATGGCGCGTTCGGGCACCAGGGGGCAGCGCAGGCCGCCGCCGCCCTCATCTCCGAGCCGAAGGAACTGGCTCACGCCCGGCAGGCAGCTGCGGAAGCCCGACGGGTGTTCGGCTCCGCTGGGCACCGGCCAGACCCCTGTGGGGAGGAGCGGACAGGAGAAACAGGGAGGGGAGGGGAGAGAGGGAGGGAATGAATGGGGAGGAAGGGGAGAGAGGAGGGAGGAGAGGGGAAAGGAGGGGGGAAGGAGGGAAGAAGCGTGTTGAGGAGGGGAAGAGAAGGGCAGAGAGGTGAGACGACCCGAATGTCTCCCCCGGGGTCCTGACCTCCTACCACCGGGATTCGAATCTCAAAGCCAGCCGGAATTTTACCGCTCCTCCCTCTCCCCCCGTGGAGCTGGGGTCCCCCTCACCAGCTGCCCACCTGCCTCCAAGCTGTCCTTTTCACTAGACCCTTTATTATTTATTTATTTTTGAGACGGGGGTCTTGCTGTCTTGCTATGTTGCCCAGGCTGGTCTCAAAAGCCCAGGCTCAAGCGATCCTTGAGGCATCCCTCCTTATTTGGCCTTGTACATCTCTGGCTCTGATCCCACACGCCTCCCCCTCCTCCCTCCAGCCCAGGTCTGTACCTTGCAAGGAATTCTGAAGACTTTTCATGTACTTCACGCTCAACTCCAGGATGTCGGCCTTCTCCAACTTGCGCTTCTGGATCTACCCGACCATGGAAACGGCACTTAGGCCGGCCGCCCGAGGTGAAGACAGAGAGGTTGGGATCGTGTCACCCACCCCCAGCCCTGAGTCTCACCTGGTGCGAGTAGTGTTTCTCCAGCAGCGACTTGAGCTGCTCCAGCGACACGTTGATGCGTGCCCGGCGCTTCTTCTCCATCAGCGGCTTGGAGATCTACAGATGAACGGCCTTTAGAGTGTGAGACTGCCACCCTCCTGCCCTCTGCCCCTGCTGCCCAGGAAGGGCACCTGTCCCTCACCCCTCAAGACCTCAGACCTTTCGGAAGCTGCTGGGGAGGCTGCCCCGAGTGGCAGGCTCCGTCCCCATGTTGCCGTCCTCGCACCAGTGGGAGGCAGCGTCGTCTCTTTATAGGGGACCCTCATTTACATGTCAATGAGACCCTCCGGACTCTGGAAACCCTGAGGAGGAGGGGATCGAGGGGTGAGGCACTGGGAAGGGAAGCTCCCTACCTCCTTCCTTCAGCCCCCTCGCATAACCCAGGCTTCCTCTCACTTCAGGACCCCTCCTGCCTCCCGGGGGACTCCCCCTTCCCCTTTGTCGGTCTTTTCCTTATCTCTCTGGCCTCCACCACTTCCAGAGCCTGAGGACCCCTGCCATGCCCACCCCCTTCATGCCCATCCTGTCCCAATCCTCGTAAGTTCTCCAGTCCCACTTGCCAAGTTCCTGATACCCTGGAGTGCAAGCATTGTGGAGGTCACCCCACTGGGGAGGTCCACGGGCCTCGCTGGCCACAGGCTGCCCCACTGACTATGACAGGCCTCTGGGCTTCCTCCGGATTGACGATGCCAAGGCAACGCCTCTCTGTGCACTTCATGCTCTAGCTGTACCCACAACGCCGCATTAGTTGCCCTAATGTCAGGACAATGCAGCAATTTTCTGCCTGTGGCTGCTCAAAGCCGGGCGCAAGCCGAGCCCGCAGGGGCCACACAACAACATGTGTCCCATTAAAGCATGCAGCCCGCCCGCGGGGCCACAGCCGGCCTCATCTTTGCTGGGTCCTCGGGACTGGGAGGGGTTCCGGTGGGGGTGCAGCCTGGGTCCCAAGTTCTCTGACACTGCTAGGATCCAACCCACATTTCCCACAGGAGGCAGGTGGGGTGAACCCGGCTGCCTCCAGGCTGGGCGGCTCCACTGTCTGACCCTGTCCCCTTGGAGAAGCACTGGAAGTCTATTCCCATGAGCCTCCTCTCAGCCGCAGGAACAGGTGGTGGTGGCAGGAGACCACTGACATTCTGGAGAGAGCTTCAGGCCACACTTCGAGAAGTCCAGGGCCCACATCCCATCCATTATTCAGGCCATGGAGGCCCAGTGGAGGAGGCCCCAGGAGCACTCGCTCCAGGACAGGCTAGGCCCTACAGCAAGGCTCTGGGGCCACCCCCCTTTTTGGTCCTCAGGAGGCTGAACTCTGGTCGCTGTGATGGAAGGAAGGCTGACCTCCAGGAAGTCCCTGGGTTCAAACCTAGACACCTCCTGTGAGCCATGATGGCCTTAGTTTTGGAGCTTATAAAATGGTGTTATGAACAATGCGGCCCCCATTGCTTCTGAGGGTGGCAGGGAAGTCGCAAAAGTTCTGCAGCTGAGCCCTATGGCAGAGGATTGAACAAACTGGCTTCTGTGTAGGGACTCAGGGTGGGGTGGGCCCCCCAGCTCTATCAAGCCGAGGCATCTCCCCCCAGCCGGCCCCCGCCTACCCTTCCCAAGATAGCGGCGTTCCCAGGCGTCAAGCAGCGTGGAGAATCGCGCCCCGCCCTCCCCCTTTCAGGCCAAGGCAGCGGCAACAGCAGCTCTGGGGCGCTCTCCAGTCCGGCCGCAGGGCCTGCGGGCCAGATCCGGGCCGACCCGGGCTTGGAAGGGCTGCGGGGGCTGAGTCCAGGCGGCAGGCTCTGGCACGCGCCGGGCAGCTTTGAAGCGCCAGGGCCAGCCGGACCTGGGTGTCTTCGGTGCGACTGGCTTCGAGCTTGGGGCGGTGGCGGCGCGGTACAAAGGCGCCGCGGAGTGGGCGGGCGGCACGGCCTGGCACAAAGGGGGCAGCCGAGTGTTAAGGGCATTGTGCGGGCCCCACAAAGCGGCGCCCGCGCCCGCCCCCTCGGGGCCAAACTCCGGGCTCCCTGCCGGGCGCGAGCTTCCAGCTGCTGCACATCTGCACCGAGGTCTGGCGCGCGCCGCGCCCCAGCGGGCCTCGCACTCCCTGCGTTCTCGAACTGCGCGGGCAGCGGGGCAATTTGTCCTCTAATTACAATCCCTCCCTATAAACCGCCGCCCGCGCCTTTCAACTCGGGTACATTAGCAAACCAATGGCCCTCCGCGCAGCCCTAGCGGGCCGCAGCTGGGTGCCGGGCCCGCCCCCTCCTCTGAGTCCGGGCCGCCATAAAGGGGCCCTCGGGCTGCTCCCGCCCTAACCCCGACACCGGCCCTTCCCAGGGTCACCACCCCTCCCAAACCGGTGCCCTGGGGTCTCAGTCGCGCTGGGTGGGGCCGCTCACGTGGATGGCTTAGTGTTTCTTAAGCAGTGGAAAATTGACCGCAAAATGTGCTAATTCGCAATGCTCTGCTGTGGCTGCGGGAGGCGAGGACCGCCTTAGGACCTGGGCGGAATTCTCAGGCGTCGCTCCACCCTGGTCCACTGAATGGACCTCCGCCTTCGCGGTCCTCCACTCCAATCCCGGCACTGCCCGCAGCGCCCCCTGTCCTGTGGCCCGTTTTCGGGCAGGAGTCTCCCTACCTTGAATGATCCTCCTCCTTTCTGGCGCCCCCACCCCGTGGCTCCTCCATTACAGCCTCCTTGGCCTGCTACTCGCCTTACACCGGCCGAGGGTCGTGCAAGATCAAGGCGCGGAGAGGTCTTGGTGCAATTTCCACCCCCGCACTTTCCCAGCTCTGAGCTGGGTTTCTCCCCATCATCCCCACCTTACTCCCAGTTCTTGCTCCTCCCTCTGGGCAGCCACTTCCTCTACTAAGTTAGTCATTCTGCAAGGTCATTTTGGGAACGACAGCAGATTAGCTTCTACAGGGACCCTTCCCGGAAACCCAGGCTAAGGACTTGGGGTCCACCCTCCATCCCAGCTACTATGATTACAAGCCCTGAGTCTAGACATCCTATCACAGCCTCAGGCAGGCCTGGCTCCAAAGGGGCTCACAGCAACCAGGATGTATTTTCAAAGCAGTAGTGGGTTCACCCTGTCCTCTGAGGGCAAGCAGGACAAACTGTTCTCCGGCTGCCAGGAAGGGCATGGACCAACTTAGAAGCGGGGCTTACGCAAGCCGGGATGTAGGCCACCAACTCCCTTTCCATCTTTAGCATCTAGGGTCCCCAAGGCAGCCTGTAAAGGAGCACAGGTCCAGGAGGAGAAGTGGGGAGACCCAGGCCCCCCTCTGCTCATTCAAGGAGAAAAAACTTCCTTCTAAAACTCCTGAGGGTGCTTGAGGCCTCCAAGGCTGCTCAGGGCCCCTCCTGTCTCATGCCGGGGAATTTAATACAGAAAGTGACAAGTGTCTATGCCACCCCTTCCCTCATTTGATTTTGTTGACTTTGACAAAAGAAAGAACATTGTGTCAGGTCTGGAACCAAGTGGGGAGAGGTTTTCGGGCTCCAGGACAAGAGCCCTACCTGCTGCCCCTCCCAGAGGATAGCGGTGGGTACCCTGTGGCTCCACATGGGAGCCCCTTCCTTTCTGCACTTCCAGGAGCTTGAACCCGTGCTAACTGGTGAGTGCTGTGCAGGCTACTGTGAATGCAGGTGACTGGAGGGAGAAATCTGCTGTCCCCCTCTGCAGATGCATTTCAAAGTGAAATGAAGTGATTGCTCCTTGTAATTAACTATTGGGACACAGCAAAACCTTTGAAATGACTCAGCGAATTGTCTCCAGATGCAGTTGGAGAGGCTGCAATTGTTTAACTCTCTTTAGCTGTGTGGGAACTCCCAATAGCCCAGCAGCCAAGGGCCCTTCAGAAGACAAAGGCCAGGACTCCAGTGAGTGCATCAATGCTGACCTGGCCCAGCTCAGGGACAGTGAATTCAGAGCAACCCCAATTGCCCCAGTCTTTTGTGTTTCTCCCCAGCTGGCTCTAATCTTTAAATATTTACCCGGCTCCTTTGTGCACATAAGACTTCTGCACTTTAGACTCATAAATTACATGTCACTTACCTGTTTTCCAGCCTAGAGAGAGGGAGTTTTCATTCCTTCAGCCTGGAATGGCCAGAGGAGGGGAAAGAAAACTTTCGGAAGACAAGAGTTCCCTCCTGGGAAGAGCTGCGACCATAGTGGACAGGTTCATCCCTGTGGCCCTCCTGGCCTCAATGTGGACAGGGGACAGGGCAAAGGCCTGTGAATGACTGGGAGCTTCAGGGGACCAACTCTAAAAATGACCGACCTGACCGGGCACGGTGGCTCACACCTGTAATCCCAGCACTTTGGGAGGCCAAGACCAGCAGATCATGAGGTCAGGTGTTCGAGATCATCCTGGCCAACATGGTGAAACTGCATCTCTACTAAAAATACAAAAATTAGCTGGATATGGTGGCCGGCACCTGTAATTCCAGCTACTCAGGAGGCTGACACAGAACCACTAGAACCCAGTTGGCAGAGGTTGCAGTGAGCCAAGATCGTGCCGTTGCACTCCAGCTTGGGGGTCAGAGTTAGACTCCATCTCTTAAAAAAAAAAAGCCAGGCACAGTGGCTCACATCTGTCATCCCAGCACTTTGGGAGGCCGAGGTGGGCGGATCACCTAAGGTCTGGAGTTTGAGACCAGCCTGGCCAACATGGTAAAACCCTGTCTCTACTAAAAAAAAAAAAAAAAAAAAAGTACAAAAAAATTAGCTGGACGTGGTGTTGTGCGCTTATAATCTCAGCTCCTCAGGAAGCTGAGACAGGAGAATCGCTTGAGCTCAACAGGCAGAGGTGGCGGTGAGCCGAGATCACACCGCTGCAATCCAGCCTGGGTGACAGAGCGAGACTCTGTGTCAAAAGAAAATAAAAGCCTAATTTCATCTTGGCCAGCAGTTTAACTTAGAAATGGCATAGTGGTTCTCAGGGTTCTCTGAAACAGGAGAGATCCTCACTCGGACCCGGGAAAGAAAGCCACTTCAGCCCCTGGGCGAAAGGCAGGTGGGGGAGGGAAGGGGGAGGCTGCAGAGGGACCTTCCTGAATGAGAAAGGGCTCCCTTTGTGCCTGCCTCCAAAGCTCCTAGAACAAAACACATTCAAATGCTTATTTACTAGAAAAGGCCAGCAAGGCATCACAGGCAAAGCAGTCTCCCTCTCTTTCCTATGTGTTTGTAGGTGTGTTGTCCCTAAGCATGGAGGGCTGGGTGCACAGTAGGTCTGTTTGATCAGATTGCTTTCCTCTGGGGCGGGAAAGCAGGTCCCTTCGTGGAGTCAGCGTGTGTCTGTGCATCTCTGAGTGCATGTTTCCCTGTGTCTGTGTGCATGTGACTTTGTTTCTCTGGTTTTATGCTCTTGTGTACTTAGATCTGCTTACTCTCCTTTCTCCTCCATCACTGCTCTGTGAATCCTGGGCCCTGACACATTCAGCAGCTCCAGCAACTTCTGAAAATTCTCCTTCCCTGAACCGGCCCGACCTGGGAGAAGACTGCCCCTGCTTTCTTTCTCCCTTCTCCAAAATGGAAGCTGATGAAGAGGGAGGGCCCAAGGGGAGGTGATGGGCAGAGGAGGGAGCACTGCTCTGGTTTTCCAGTCTGGTTACACATTACTCTACACCCTCATATGGCAACAGGCCCTGGGGGTAAATCAAGGCCGTTATACATTAAGGAGAGCAAATGCCAAGAGCCAGGGGAGGGCTTCCAGGCAGAGTGGTTTTTGATCTCAGGACCAGCTCACTTCCAGGGGTGAAGTTTCGATGAGTGCCCTCTGGTGGTCCTGAGGTGTCCTGGTGCAGAGGGAGAGGTCCCAAGTCTGGGGGAGACCACGGGAAACTGGTGGCAGTCACAGGTGCTCTTAGCTCCCAGGAACATTCACGCCCAGGCCTCCTTCCCATGTGGCACTGCAGCTGGGGGACTCTGATTTTTAAAACATTAAATCTCGACAGCCACAGTGGCTCACTGCTGGGAGGCCGAGGCAGGCGGATCATCTGAGGTCGCGAGTTTGAGACAAGCCTGATCGAGGTGGAGAAATCCCATCTCTACTAAAAATACAAAATTAGCCAGGCATGGTGGTGCATGCCTGTAATCCCAACTACTCAGGAGGCTGAGGTGAGAGAATGCCTTGAACCTGGGAATCCGGGGTTGCGGTGAGCCAAGATTTCGCCACTGCACTCCAGCCTGGGCAACAAGAGCAAAACTCCATCTCAAAAAACAAACAGACAAAAAAAAAACCCATTAAATCTCTTGTCAATTCCCAACCAACAAATTTAGCAAGTTTTCTGAGCATTGTTGCATTTTTTTTTTTTTTTTTTGAGATGGAGTTTCGCTCTTGTTACCCAGGCTGGAGTGCAATGGCGCGATCTCGGCTCACCGCAACCTCCGCCTTCTGGGTTCAAGCAACTCTCCTGCCTCAGCCTCCCGAGTAGCTGGGACTACAGGTGTGCACCACTATGCCCAGCTAATTTTTGTATTTTTAGTAGAGACCTCGTTGACCAGGATGGTCTCAATCTCTTGACCTCGTGATCCACCCGCCTCGGCCTCCCAAAGTGCTGGGATTATAGGCATGAGCCACCGTGCCCGGCCTGAGCACTGTTTAAACACAGTACTGGAGCCAGGGACAGTGGTGTATGCTTATAGTCCCAGCGACTCGAGAGCCTGAGGCAGGAGGATAGTCTGAGCCCAGGAATTTGAGGCTGCAGTGAGCTATGATCTCGACACTGCATTCCAGCCTGGGCAACAGTGAGGCCCTATCTAAAAAAAATAAATTAACAAAGTAAAATGGGCCAGGTGTGGTGACTCATGCCTGTAATCCCAGCACTTTGGGAGGCCAAGGTGGGTGGAGCACCTGAGGTCAGAGGTTCGAGACCAGCCTGGACAACATCGTGAAACCCTGTATCTACTAAAAATACAAAAAAAATTAGCCAGATGTGGTGGTGGTGCATGTCTGTAGTCCCACTACTCAGTAAGCTGAGGCAGGGGAATGCCTTGAACCTGGGAGGTGGAGGTTGCAGTGAGCTGAGATCACTCTATTGCACTCCAGCCTGGCAACAGAATGAGACTTTGTCTCAAAAAATAAAAATAGGCTGGGCGCGGTGGCTCACACCTGTAATCCCAGCACTTTGGGAGGCCGAGGCAGGTGGATCACGAGGTCAAGAGATTGAGACCATCCTGGTCAACATGGTGAAACCCCATCTCTACTAAAAATACAAAAAATTAGCTGGGCATGGTGGCACATGCCTGTAGTCCCAGCTACTCAGGAGGCTGAGGGAGGAGAATTGCCTGAACCCAGGAGGCGGAGGTTGCTGTGAGCCGAGATCGCGCCATTTCACTCCAGCCTGGGTAACAAGAGCGAAACTCTGTCTCAATAAATAAATAAATAAATAAAAATAAAATCAAATAAAATGGTACTGGGCTTTACAGAAAAAATACCAATCTGGTGGAGGTTGCCAGATAAATCAGGTCCCCACTGTACAGGAAACAGAGGTGCATAGAATGGATTTGCCAAGGTCACAAAGCTAGGTTGCAGAGGGTGGGCTCCAATCCAGGCTCTCCATCCAGCTTCCCAGATACCAGAGCTCCTGCCAGGACCTGCAGGGACAAGAGTCGAGAGGTGAGGGGCTCAGATGCAGGGCTCACAGACTGCCTGCCTCATGCTCACTGACCCACCACTTGATGCCAGCCTCCCTGAGGGCCTGTCCCCATCCCTTCTCAGCCTTGCTCACTCTGTGCCTTTCAAACACCGAGCCCTCACTCCCTCCTTGATCTCATTTCCAATGGAGGGCAGGCTGTCCATCCCTGAGGGCCCCAAGGCCTAGCTCTGGCGACTGTTCCTTGCAGCCTCCTCGCCCTGCTGCCCTCAAGCTGAGGGCCTCCCCTGGGGTCCCTCTCTGCTCCCCATCCTTGCTTTGCTCCCGCCCCACTCCCACCCCTGTAGAGTTTATTCTGGGTTGTTCCTTCACTTATTGGCTTTTCTCCTATAGCATGGCTCTCTGAGCTACCCGAGGTTAGAGCATTTACTATTTAAAACGCAAAGAACAACTTCTGATTATAAAAGCAATGTGCACCATTGCACTCTAGCCTGGGCAACAAGAGCGAAACTCCGTCTCAAAAATAAAATAAAATAAAATAAAAATAAAAACAATGTATGGGCCAGGCGCAGTGGCTCACACCTGTAATCCCAGTACTTTGGGAGACTGAGCCTGGTGGATCACTGAGGTCAGGAGTTTGAAACTAGCCTGGCCAACGTGGCCAAAACCCATCTCTACTAAAAATACAAAAAAAGTAGGGATTATATGGTGGCAGGCTCCTATAATCCCAGCTACTTGGGAGGCTGAGACAGGAGAATTTCTTGAATCTGGGAGGCGGCACAGGTTGCAGTGAGCAGAGATCATGCCATTGCACTCCAGCCTGGGCAATAAGAGCAAAACTCTGTTTGGAAAAAAAAAAAAAGTAATCTATGTTCACCGTAGGCAGTATGGAAACTGCAAAAACACATAAAGACGATAAAAATCATCCAGAGTGCCACCACCTATAGATAGACCAGGGGTGGTGGCTCATACCTGTAATTCCAGTGCTTTGGGAGGCTGAGAGAGAAGAGGATCGCTTGGGCCCAGGAGTTACAGGCTGCCACACTCTGGCCTGGGGTACAAAGTGAGACCCTGTCTTAAAAAAAAAAAAAAAAAGTACATATATAGTTGCCAGTGTGTCACTTTGGCTTATAGCTCGATCATTTTCCCAGGCTCACCTGCCCTTTTCCCCCAAGTGAAGTCAGGATCCACCGCAAAGCTTTGCTTCCTGCTTTTTAAAAACCGAATACATTCCGAGCATTCCCACCACTGCCCAGCCTTGTTCCACAACAGGAATTTAAGCGGGCGTTGGTCCCATCGTATGCATGCCCAGGTGCCGTTGTCCAGGCCGCTTTCCAGGGACCCGCGGAAGATTCCCGCACTTGGCTGCACCTGCGCCCCAGGACGTCTGGTTTTCCAGGACCACGCGGGCCGGCAAGGGTGCGGCCGCTCTCAAACTTTTTTTTTTGAGACAGAGTCTCACTTTGTCATCCAGGCTGGAGTGCAGTGGCGCTATCTCGGCTCGCTGCGACTTCCGTCTCCCGGGTTCAAGCAATTCTCCTGCCTTAGCCTCCCAAGCAGCTGGAATTACAGGCGTGCGCCGCCACGCCCAGCTAATTTTGTGTGTGTGTGTGTGACAGAGCCTCAATCTGCCGCCCAAGCTTGAGTGCTGTGTAATTTTTGTATTTTTAGTAGAGACGGGGTTTTCCCATGTTGGCCAGGTTGGTCTCGAACTCCTGACCTCAAATATTCCGCCCACCTCGGCCTCCCAAAGTGCTGGGATTACAGGCGTGAGGCACCGCGCCCGGGTCATTTCAAACTTTAAATTGCTTCTTGGGACAGGAAACTCCTGAGTTTGGGACTACGTTTGGGTAGAGGCCGGAAGCGACTTCTCCGGTCCCTGCCCGGCGCTAACCAGTCCCAGAGCCCGACTCAGAGCCGGGCTGATCCCAAGGGGCGGGGCGGGGCGGGGCGGGGCGCTCCCGCCAAATTCGGGCCACCGACCCGGCCGACTGGAGTTCTCGCGAGAACTGGCAGGCGGCGCGCGGCTCCGGGCAGCTGCCCTTCCCAGGCCGGCGTCGGCAGCGCTGTGCGCAGGCGCGGCCGGCGGGTTTCCCCGGGCTACAGCCGGCGCCGCTGCCCGCTCGTTAGCCGCCTTGCGCCATGGCGGGCTGCGCGGCGCGGGCTCCGCCGGGCTCCGAGGCGCGTCTCAGCCTCGCCACCTTCCTGCTAGGCGCCTCGGTGCTCGCGCTGCCGCTACTTACGCGCGCCGGCCTGCAGGGCCGCACCGGGCTGGCGCTCTACGTGGCGGGGCTCAACGCGCTGCTGCTGCTGCTCTATCGGCCGCCGCGCTACCAGGTGCAGGCCGGCGAGGGCCGGCGGGGCAGGTGGGGCGGGTGGGGGTCGCTCTGCGCTGCGCGTGATCGCCTTTCTCCCCGGGTCCGCAGCGGCCTCCCACGCGCGCGCTTTTCATCCGCGAGTTCAGGTCGCAGGAGGGGACCCTGCCTCTCCGGGCTCGGGCGCCCTGCACCCAGGGTGTGGGTGTTAAATTGCAGCTCGTGCAGCTCAGCAAGTGCGCGTGGGGTGAGAGTGAGCGAGCCCGTGAGTGCCTTTATGTAACTTAAGGTGCGGAGACCTACCTGCTGCCCCGTCTCAGGTCAAAGGCCCCGCAGTGACGTGGGTGGGGCTGGGCGCACAGGCCCGGGTGCCCTGACCTCATAAACTAGGCTTAAGCTGTTTTCCTACAGCCCTGAAGAATAATCGCGAATAATAATAATAATGGCAGCTAAAATTTAGGTAGCAGTTAGTCTTAAGTGTTTTTCATAATCCTTTCCGCAGTCCTGAAAGGTAGGTACTGTTATCTCCTGGGTGTAGATGGGGAAAGAAAGCCCAGAGAGGTTAATTTGCTGGGAGGCCACACAGCCAGAGAGGGGAGGGTGTAGAATTTGAACTCAGGTCGCCCGCTTCTGCCTCTCAACCTCAGCAAATCGGCCCTGTTTGCTTGCCGGTGGCCTGCCTATCCCGGGGAGGTCAGTAGCCCAGATCTGTACTCCGAGGACTGCGGGTGACAGCTTCTCTTGGGTCCCTTGCAGATCGCCATCCGAGCTTGTTTTCTGGGCTTTGTGTTCGGCTGCGGTGTGCTGCTAAGTGTTAGCCAGTCGTCTTGGACTCACTTTGGCTGGTAAGAAGTCCTTCGGGAATACCGGTTTTCAGGCGAGGGTGGACATATCAGAGGGTCAGGAGTGGCATTTCCTCATCCCTGTCTCATCTGTGACCGGCAGAAGGCTGTTCAGGGTTCTCTGGACATGAAGTCTCCTGGCTGCCCCCTACTTGCTCACATTTCAGCCCTTGTGATTTCGTGCCTGTGGGTTGATTCTGTATCAGGCAGAAACAGTTCTCCCTGGCACCCCCAAAGGTGCTGTCATCCGCAGCTGTGGTGACAGCATTCAGTAATGTGACCAGCCCTTCCCGGAAGGGGTGCTGGTCCTCGGTGGTGGGCAGGGGTAGGGCTCTGGCTTGTCTTCATAGGCCTTTTTCATCTCTAATTTCTATTAGGTCACATCTAGTGCATCCCCACAGCCATTGTAGGATTTTTCCCTACACTATGATTTCAGTCCCTTGAGCCTTCTAGTCTGACCTGGATATGAACCAGTGGCTTCAAGGTAAAAAGTTTTATCTCCTCTTATCAATATTTTGAGCCATCTAATCCTTCTTTGATGGAATTATTTCAGTTTTGTTAAATTTTGTATCCGACATACATCACTCCTTTATGTTGCTATCTCCCTCTTTCATGTTTTTTTTTTGTGTGTAGTGTCATTTTTAAAGGACGGAAGGATCCATAATGCCTCCATGACCTGTGGGTTGGTTTTGCCTGTGACATTCAAAAACAGTGCCTTGCCAGGTGCGGTGGCTCACGCCTGTCATCCCAGCACTTTGGGAGGCTGATGCGGGCGGATCACGAGGTCAGGAGTTCAAGACCGGCCTGGCCAACATAGTGAAACTACATCTCTACTAAAAATACAAAAATTAGCCAGGCGTGGTGGCGGGCGCCTGTAGTCCTAGCTACTTGGGAGGCTGAAGCAGGAGAATCACTTGAACCTGGGAGGCGGAGGTTTCAGTGAGCCGAGATTGCGCCACTGCACTCCAGCCTGGATGACACAGTGAGACTCTGTCTCAAAAATCAAAACAAAACAAAAACAGTCTGTTAAAAACTCCACTTTCCTAAAACCTGAGGTAGTAGATGCTGCAGATGGGTGCCTGTGTCCACTCTCAGACAGGTGAGAACAGGGCCTCAGAGAATTAGGGACAGCTCAGGAGACCCACATCTGTACTTATGGCTAACTTGGTTCTCTTATCCCAACTTAATTCTCTTTTTATCTTTAAATAGGTACATGTGCTCCCTGTCATTGTTCCATTATTCTGAATACTTGGTGACAGCAGTCAATAATCCCAAAAGTCTGTCCTTGGATTCCTTTCTCCTGAATCACAGTCTGGAGTATACAGTCGCTGCTCTTTCTTCTTGGATAGAGTTCACACTTGAAAACATTTTTTGGCCAGGTTCGTGTGCCTTATGTTCCCCATCTGGAAGGGAGAAGGGAGGCTCCCATTCAGGTTGAGGACAGTGACATTGATTCACCTTTCAGGTCTAATCTCCCCCAAGTGATTTTCCTCAGACCTCTGTCCTCACTAAGCTATTTATAAAGGATGAGCTCTGCTCATGAATTCTCCTTCTGGATTTTGACTCGAGGACGTCTTGACCTTTTGCTTTAAAGCTTGCATCACGTAGCACACCATCTAATGGGAAGTCACAGCCTCGGGTAGTTGTGATTCTAATTTTACAGTCAGATATTTGCATCTATTCACTTTCTGTGACTTTAGACATTTCATGTAAGAGTTTATTAACAAGACAAGGTGCGGTGGCTCATGCCTGTAATTCTATCACTTTGGTAGGGTGAAGCAAGTGGATCACATGAGGTGCAGGTGGATCACATGAGGTGAGGAATTTGAGGCCAGCCTGACAAGCATGGTGAAACCCAGTCTGTACTAAAAATACAAAGTTAGCTGGGCATGGTGGCGCATGCCTGTAATCTTAGCTACTTGGGAGGCTGAGGCAGGAGAATTGCTTGAACCCAGGAGGTGGAGGTTGCAGTGAGCCGAGATCATGCCATTGTACTGCAGCCTGGGCAATGAGAGTGAGACTCCATCTCAAAAAAAAATAAATAAGGCAGGCACAAGCCCAGTAGTTCACACCTGTAGTCCCAAAACTTTGGGAGGCTGAGGCAGGCGGATCATGAGGTCAGGAGATCGAGATCATCCTAACATGGTGAAAACGCCATCTCTACTAAAAAAGGACAAAAAATTAGCCAAGTAAGGTGGTGGGAATCTGTAGTCCCAGCTACTTGGGAGGCTGAGGCAGAATTGCTTGAACCAGGGAGGCGGAAGTTGAAGTGAGCTGAGATTGTGCCTCTGCACTCCAGCCTGGGTGACAGAGCAAGACTAAATTGAATGTCCCACAGCCAATGAAATGAACTACATGTGGCTTTTAGGATTCAGGGTGGAAACCTTGGACCCTTCTTTGCTTCTCTTAGCTGTGCTTGTCCCCAAATGAAGGACTGAGCATGTGCCTGGGGGCTGTGAACCAGAGATCCCATCAGCTGTAGCAGGAGAGCATCTCTTTACTATCATACTCTTATTGGCTTGTTGGCATTTTAAAGTAAACCGATGAACAGCACAACGTAGGGGAATATGTTTTCTTATCATGAAATTTTTTTTTTTTTGAGACGGAGTTTCCCTCTTGTTACCCAGGCTGGAGTGCAATGGCGCAATTTCGACTCACCGCAACCTCCGCCTCCTAGGTTCAAGCAATTCTCCCGCCTTAGCCTCCTGAGTAGCTGGGATTACAGACACGCGCCACCATGCCCAGCTAATTTTTTTTTTGTCTTTTTAGTAGAAACGGGGTTTCAACCATGTTGACCAGGATGGTCTTGATCTCTTGACCTGGTGATCCACCCGCCACGGCCTCCCAAAGTGCTGGGATTACAGGTTTGAGCCACCACGCCTGGCCCATCATGAAAATTTTTTTTTTTTGAGACGGAGTTTCGCTCTTGTTACCCAGGCTGGAGTGCAATGGCGCGATCTCGGCTCACGGCAACCTCCGCCTCCTGGGTTCAGGCAATTCTCCTGCTTCAGCCTCCTGAGTAGCTGGGATTACAGGCATGTGCCACCATGCCCAGCTAATTTTTTGTATTTTTAGTAGAGACAGGGTTTCACCATGTTGACCAGGATGATCTCGATCTCTTGACCTCTTGATCCACCCGCCTCGGCCTCCCAAAGTGCTGGGATTACAGGCTTGAGCCACCAAGCCGGGCCTCCTATCATGAAATTTTAATGTGATGACAATGCTGATTGCCCATGAAAACATTTTCTGTTTTTTTCTATCCGGGAAAATAGGTTAATTTTCAGCAGTTCAAAGGGGAGCTCAGCAGGCCAGTGTTTCAGTCCTCGTTTGTCATCAATGTCTCTCTCCCGCAGAACTCAAGCAGATCACCTGGCTCAGCATCATGGGGCTGCTGATGGTGGTCTTTGGAGAATGTCTGAGGAAGGCGGCCATGTTTACAGCTGGCTCCAATTTCAACCATGTGGTGCAGAATGAAAAATCAGATACCCATACTCTGGTGACCAGTGGAGTATACGCCTGGTTCCGGCATCCTTCTTACGTCGGGTGGTTTTACTGGAGTATTGGAACTCAGGTATGGTATCAAATATGACCCCGCTTTCCTTTTTTTTTTTCCCTAACATTTTAAACATTGTGATATAGTTCACATACCGTAAAAGTCACCATTTCAAAGTATACGGTTAGTGGTTTTCAGTGTATTCAGGAGATTGTTGATCTCCTTTAAACAGGTACATGTTCTCCTTGGCATGTTTCAAGTGATAAAAAAAAAAGGTCAGGAGAACTAATGTAGTGATTATGGTTTTTATTATGTGCATAAAACCTGGGTACACAAACCCTTGTTGATTATTGGTGCTGTTAGCTACCTGCTATATCCCTTCATCCTGTTTCTACCTGTTTTTTTTTTTTTTTTTTGAGACGGAGTCTCACTCTTGTTACCCAGGCTGGAGTTCAATGGCATGGTCTCGGCTCACTGCAACCTCCACCTCCTGGGTTCAAGCAATTCTTCTGCCTTAGCCTTCCAAGTAGCTGGGACTACAGGTGCTTGCCACCACACCCGGCTAATTTCTGCGTTTTTAGTAGACACAGGGTTTCACTGTGTTGGCCAGGCTGTTCTCAAACGCCTGATCTCATGAGCTGCCTGCCTCAGCCTCCCAAAGTGCTGTGATTACAGGTGTGAGCCACTGTGCCTGGCCGTTTTTTTTTTGTTGTTGCCGTTGTTTGTTTTTAAATTTATTTTATTTTATTTTTTGAGATGGAGTTTCGCTGTTGTTACCCAGGCTGGAGTGCAATGGCGCGATCTTGGCTCACCGCAACCTCCGCCTCCTGGGTTCAGGCAGTTCTCCAGCCTCAGCATCCTGAGTAGCTGGGACTACAGGTGCACACCACCATGCCCAGCTAATTTTTTGTATTTTTAGTAGAGACAGGGTTTCACCATGTTGACCAGGATGGTCTCGATCTCTGGACCTCGTGATCCACCTGCCTCGGCCTCCCAAAGTGCTGGGATTACAGGCTTGAGCCACCATGCCCGGCCTATTTTTATTTTTTGGTAGAGACAGGGTCTTACTATGTTGTCCAGGCTGGTCTCAAACTCTTGGCCTTAAAGTGATCCTCCCACCTCAGCCTCCCAAAATGCTAACATTATAGGCATGAGCCGCTGTGCCTGTCCCCTTCTCTGTCCCTGCAACTTGTGAATAGATCTGAAGCACCCCAGAGGGGCTGAGGACTCTGGACAGAGATGGGGCTTAGGGAAGGGAGTGCCCTTTACCACTCCTGTAGCAGTTTATCTGGTTTTCGTGAGAAATAGATATTAATGAGGCCAAGGTCATGTGTTAGTGAGCTGTGTAAGGGGCTGTGGTGGTTTGTTCTGTCTCAGGCTGAAGAAAAAGCCTTTTTGTTTTTGGAGATGTAGTTTTGCTCTGTCACCTAGGCCAGAGTGCAGCAGTGCGATCTCAGCTCACTGTACCTCTGTCTCCCAAGTAGCTGGGACTATAGGCATGAACCACCATGCCTGACTAATTTTTTATTTTTATTTTTTGTAGAGACAGGGTTTTGGAGTTGCCTAGGGTGATCTTGAACTCCTGAGCTCAAGCAGTCTGCCCTCCTAGGCCTCTCAAAGTCCTGGTGTTACAGGCTTTAGCCACTGTGCCTGACTTTTTCGGGGATACAGAGTCTTGCTGTCACCTAGGCTGGAGTGCAGTGGTTCGATCTCGGCTCACTGCAACCTTCGCCTCCCAGGTTCAAGCAATTCTCTGCCTCAGCCTCCCAAGTAGCTAGGATTACAGGCACCCACCACCACACCTGGCTACTTTTTTGTATTTTTAGTAGAGATGGGTTTTCACCATGTTGGCCAGGCTGGTCTTGAACTCCTGACCTCATAATCCACCTGCCTCAGCCTCCCAGAGTGCTCGGATTACCTGTGTGAGCCACCTCACCCAGCCCTTTTAAAAAAAGACAGATCAGGCTGGGCGCGGTGGCTCACACCTATAATCCCAGCACTTTGGGAGGCCGAGGTGGGTGGACCACGAGGTCAAGAAATCGAGACCATCCTGGTCAACAAGGTGAAACCCCATTTCTACTAAAAATACAAAAATTAGCTGGGCATGGTGGTGTGTGCCTGTAGTCCCAGCTACTCAGCAGGCTGAGGCAGGAGAATTGCTTGAACCAAGAAGGCGGAGGTTGTGGTGAGCCAAGATCGCGCCATTGCACTCTAGTCTGGGTAACAACAGCGAAACTCCGGCTCAAAAAAAAAAAAGATCAATTAGCCGGGTGTGTTAGCTCACGCCTGTAATCCCTGCACTTTGGGAGGTAGATCACTTGAGGTTAGGAGTTTGAAACTAGCCTAGCCAACATGGCAAAACCCCATCTGTACTAAAAATATAAAAATTAGCTGGGCATGGTGGCACACACCTGTAATCCCAGCTACTCAGGAGTCTGAGACATGAGAATCACTTGAACCTGGGAGGTGGAGGTTGCAGTGAGCTGAGATCATGCCGTGGCACTCCAGCCTGGGTGACAAAGCGAGACTCTGTCCCCCACCAAAAAAAAGAATTGGTTCTCTCTTTGTTGCCCATGTTGGTCTTGAACTCCTGGACTCAAGTGATCCTCCCACCTTGGCCTTCTAAAGTGCTAGGATTAGGCCAGGTGTGGTGGCTCATGCTTATAATCCCAGCTAATTGGGAGACTGAGGCACAAGAATTGCTTGAACCTGGAAGGCAGAGGTTGCAGTGAGCTGAGATCATGCCACTGCACTCCAGCCAGGGTGACACAGCAAGACTCTCCCTCGAAGAAAAAAAAAAAAGAAAAAGAAAAAGCGTTAGGATTATAGCCGCTGTGCCTGGCTGTATTTCTTATGTTTCTTTTTTTTTTTTTTTTTTTTTGAGACAGAGTTTTGCTCTGTTGCAAGGCTGGAGTGTAGTTGCAAGCCTGGCTAATTTTGTATTTTTAGTAGAGACAGAGTTTCTTCATGTTGGTCAGGCTGATCTTGAACTCCCAACCTCAGATGATCCTCCTGCCTCAGCCTCCCAAAGTTCTGGGATTACAGGCGTGGGCTACCACACCTGGCTAATTTTTGTATTTTCAGTAGAGATGGGGTTTCACCATGTTGGTCAGGCTGGTCTCGAACTCTGGACCTCATGATCTGCCCAACTTGGCCTCCCAAAGTGCTGGGATTACAAGGGTGAGCCACTGTGCCTGGCTATTTCCTTTTTAAAATTATTATTTATTTTTTTGAGGCAGGGTCTATTACCCAGGCTGGAGTGCAATGGAATGATTATAGCTTATCACAGCCTCAATCTCGTGGGCTCGAGTGATCCTCCCACCTTAGTCTCCTAAGTAGCTGCAACTATAGGTACATGCCACTGTGCCTGGCTAATTTTTTTTTTTTTAAGACAGAGTCTCACTCTAACCCAGGCTGGAATGCAGTGGCATGATCTCTGCTTACTGTAAACTCCACCTCCCAGAGTTCCAGAATCTCAGCCTCCTGAGTGGCTAGGATTACAAGCATGCACCACCACGCCTGGCTAATTTTCTATTTTTAGTAGAGATGGGTTTCTCCATGTTTGTCAGGCTGGTCTCGATCTCCCAACCTCAGGTGATCCGCCTGCCTCAGCCTCCCAAAGTGCTGGGATTACAGGTATGAGCTACCGCGCCTGGCCAAAATTACTTATTTATGTATTAAAGATGAGGTCTCAGCTAGGCATGGTGGCTCACACCTGTAATCTCAGCACTTTGGGAGGGAGAAACCCTGTCTTTATTAAAAATAAAAAAATTAGCCAGGCGTGGTTGTGCATGCCTGTAATCCCAGCTACTTGGGAAGCTGAGGTAGGAGAATTGCTTCAACCTGGTAGGCAGAGGTTGCAGTGAGCTGAGATAACGCTGTTGCGCTCCAGCCTGGGTAACAAGAGCGAAACTGTCTCAAAAAAAAAAAAGATGAGGTCTCCCTGTGTTGCCCAGGCTAGTCTCAAACTCCTGGGCTCAAGTAGTCCTTCTGCTTCCATCTCCTGAGTAGCTGGGACTATAAGCGTATACCACCACACCCAGCTAATTTTTTTTTTTGAGACAGTCTTGCTCTTTTGCCCAGGCTTGAGTTCAGTGGTGTGATCTGTAACCTCTGCCTCCCAGGTTCAATCTATTGTCCTGCCTCAGCCTCCTGAGTAGCTGTGGCTACAGGCATGTGCCACCACACCCAGCTAATTTTTTGTATTTTTAATAGAGACAGCGTTTTATTATGTTAGGCAGGATGGTCTTTATCTCCTGACCTTGTGATCTGCCTGCCTCAGTCTCCCAAAGTGTTGGAATTACAGGTGTGAGCCACCATGCCTGGCCACACCCAGCTAATTTTTAATTTTTTTTAGAGATGGTGTCTTACGGTGTTGCCCAAGCAGATCTCGAACTCCTGGGCTCAAACAGTCCTCCCAAAATGCTGGGATTACAGGCGTGATCCTCCATGCCCAGCACCAAGCCTTATTTCCTGAAACTGTCTCTTGATGCTGTACTCTTTGTTCTAGAAAACGTTGGCCAAAGAATGTGAATAGATTTTGGAAGTCTTTGGGAAAACTCTCTGCGTCTTTGGGCAAATCCAGAGATCTCTCAGGCATCCCATCAGCAATGCATGGTCCTTGGTGACTCTCTGGTGACCCCTAATGGTATAGTTGGGGCAAATTATCACATAACATTTACTTTAAATTTTTGTTTCTGAAAATGTAAAACTCCCACGTTAACAGTCACCTTCCCTGGGAACAAATTGGTTATGACTAAATAATGTAATTTGCCATAAATGCTTGCCTACTGTATACACGTGTGCTCTAGAACTATAGCATTTTCCATACCTTTTTGCCCTAGATTTTTTGGGGGTCAAAAATCATACACACACGTGCCCCAGCATGTCTTTCCTGGAATAAGACTTACCCTTACTGTGTACAAAACACTGTTTTCTTTCTTTCTTTTTTTTTTTTTTTGCGATGGAGTTTCGCTCTTGTTACCCAGGCTGGAGTGCAATGGCGCAATCTGGGCTCACCGCAACCTCTGCCTCCTGGGTTCAGGCAATCCCAGCTACTCAATCCCTGAGTAGCTGGGATTACAGGCACGCGCCACCATGCACAGCTCATTTTTTGTATTTTTAGTATAGATGGGATTTCACCATGTTGACCAGGATGGTCTCGATCTCTTGACCTCGTGATCCACCTGCCTGGGATTACAGGCTTGAGCCACCGCGCCCGGCTGCAAAACACCGTTTTCTATCTTACTGTTTGTAATGCTGTTCATGATGCTCTAAATGGTTTCATGGCTCAGTAAGAGGCTGCAGCCTGCTGTCGAGATATCCTGCTATGGGGGTCCCCAGCAAGCTATGCCAGATGTGAGGGCACAGGCCCTGGAGTCACTGACTGGGCCAGTCCTGATTCTGCCATTCACTACTTGGCCTCCCTTTCCTCTCATGTTAAAGTGGGGGTAGCTAGACATGGTGGCACATACCTGTAGGTCCCCCCTACTTGGGAAGCTGAGGCGGGAGGGTGGCTTGGGCCAAGAGTTCAAGTCCAGCCTGGGCAATATGGACAGTGAGACCCTGTCTTTAAAAAATAAATAAATAAAAATTTAAAAAGGCAAAGTGGGGATAGTAGTGAGAATTGAACAGTGTAATGATTGTAAACAGCTTAGCAGTGCTGGAGCACAGTGAGTGCTGAATAAGAGAAGGTGTGAGAAGTCAGGATGTGAGCCTGGCTCTCCAGGTGGCTACACTGGCACCTAAAATGTATGTTTAGAAAGCATAAGTAAAATGTATGTTGGGGAAGATGCATGTCCATAGGGGACCAGTGGGCAGGAGTAGGTGAGTGCTTCCCTGAGAAGCTGGAGAATGCTTTTGACCTTGAAGGACTGTTTTGTTTTGTTTGAGAGGGAGTTTCTATCTGTTGCCCAGGCTGGACTGCAGTGGCGTTCTCAGCTCACTGCAACCTCTGGTTCCTGGGTTCAAGCAATTCTCCTGCCTCAGCCTCCCAAGTAGCTGGGATTACAGGCCACCACACCCAGCTAATTTTTCTATTTTTAGTAGAGACAGCGTTTTGCCTTGTTGGCTAGACTTGTCTCCAACTCCTGACCTCAGGTGATCCGCCCACCTTGGCCTCCCAGAGTGCTGGGATTACAGGCCTGAGCCCCTGCGCCCAGCTAGGATGTTCTTAAAAGTAGAAGAAAGGGCCAGGAGTTCGAGTTCAGCTGGGCCACATAGTGAAGCCCCATCTCTATAAAAAATAAAAAACTTAACCAGGCGTAGTGGCTCATTCTGTAGTCCTAGCTACATAGGAGGCTGAGGCAGGAGGATGGCTTGAGCCTGGGAGGTGAAGGCTGCAGTGAGCCATGATTATGCTACTGTACCCTAGCCTGGGTGACAGAGTGAGACCCTGTCTCTAAAACAAAAAAAGTGGATGAACAACCAGGTGTGATGGCTCACACTTGTAACCTCAGCCCTTAGGGAGGCCGAGGCAGGAGGGTCACTTGAGTTTAGGAGTTTGAGATGAGCCTGGACAACATGGTGAAAACCTGTCTCTACAAAAAATACAACAACCAGTTGGGCTTAGTGTCACATGCCCGTAGTCCCAGCTACTTGGGAGGTTGAGGTGGGAGGATCACTTGAGCCCAAAAGGTTAAGGCTGCAGTGAGCCATGATCATGCCACTGCACTCCACACAACAGAGTGAGACCCTGTCTTGGGGGGAAAAAAAGAGAGAGGTAAGAGGCAAACTGGGCACAGCGTGGGGAAGCGGGCAAAGTGCTGCTTTTCTGGGCTTGGAAACCCAGACTCAGGAGGTGGGGTTCAGGTACTGAGCTGAGTATGGAGGTGATCTGCTGGAAGGGGCGTTTCGGAAGCTCAGTTGGATGCTCTGTATCTCGTGCTAAGGCAGAGGCCGTGGGGGTATGAGGCAGAGGCTGGACAGCTGTGGTGTAAGCAAACGCATTTGTGTATGAGGGGTCCTGGGCAGGAAGGCAGCGTGCACAGGACCCCATGTTGGGGAACTCACACCAGGAGGTGGGGGCATTGCTGTCTCCCCTAGCTGAGGGTTGAAATCCCAGAGGTTGATCTTGTGATTTTCAGATCTGTCTCATGTAAGACGAGCAACAGAAAAGCATGTAAGAAAGGCCTGCAGCACTGGGCACTTAGGTGACAGTACTGCTCCCAGAGACCCTGACAGTCTCAGGAGGGCACAGGCAAAGAGATCCTCTGGGTATTAGAGAGAGGTGCCCGCCAAAGCACGAGATGTCATCCCATGGTCACCCTCATGACCCCGGTGTCTCCCCCTGTCAGGTGATGCTGTGTAACCCCATCTGCGGCGTTGGCTATGCCCTGACCGTGTGGCGATTCTTCCGTGATCGAATAGAAGAAGAAGAAATCTCACTCATTCACTTTTTTGGAGAGGAGTACCTGGAGTATAAGAAGAGGGTGCCCACGGGCCTGCCTTTCATAAAGGGGGTCAAGGCGGACCTGTGACGGGCAGTGACTCCGGCAACCATGGGTCCTCCGACCCTTTGCAGCCTGGGACAAAACTGTTTCCGGTTGGCCGCTGCAACATGGATTTTCTTAATCGTTTTATATGGCACTAGTCACTCATCTGGAATGTCCCTTGAGACCAAGCGGTCAGAAGGCCTGAGGAACCAAGGCCCCACTGGAGCAGCCTGTCCTTGTGCTGAATCAAGGTGGAATGTGGGTGAAATACCCGTAAGAGGCAAATCACAGCAATACTCCACAGCGCCCTCCAGAGTGACCTGGGAGAACCGAGGCCACACGCCACTGCCCCCGAGGACAGAGTGTAAGTAAAGAAAGGATAACTAGGACTCCCTAGGAGAGATAGACTCTGTCCTCAGCAACACTTCCACAGCAGAAAGGGGTAGTGGGTACCCTGCTTATCAGCATTAAAAATGCATTTACAAGCTTTTATTTAACCGAAAAACAAACCGCTTTAACCTCTTTATTTCTGTCCCTACTGCATGAACATCTAGACAGTTTTAAAGATACTTCCTCATAAGATGCTTTGGCCCTTCATCTATTTAATCGTAGCTACATATCTATTTTTATAAGTAGCAGTACACCTTCCAAGGGGACTCAACTTTTATCCTGCAGCAAGTAAGCCTAGATACCTCCATATGATTTGGCCGAGTGGCTTTGTGTGACCATGGCCCCGGCCAGCTTTCCTGGGGGTCCTGGCTCCTGTTGTCAGTGACAGGCAGCTCAAAGGAGCGTCCGTTTCTCTTGATCCAAGAAGTGCTTACCAAATGCCTGCTCTGTGCATGGCGTTAAACACTGGGAAGTGCTGCTCTCCATTCATTTGGGATTTGATTCTCATTTTACCATAGCTTATATTCTCAATTTAAATGTAAATCTCAGAACTCTTGTTTTCTGTGTTCTGTTCTCAAAATTACATTGTCCCTCATGTCATTTCAAACTGTTTTCCCAAGGGGTTTAAGCATATACAACGACAAATCCAAGCAGATTGACTCTCAAAAAGAATCTTCAATAGTGCAGATAGTCCCAGCCAAGATTCAGTCAATACGTTTGTTTTGCAAGTTTGGAAGAGCAGTTGGCTTTGAGTCACACATTGAAGCTTTAAGAGGTGAGACGCTGGCTTCATTCTGGACAAGACAGAAACTTGGCCTCAGTGTGAGATCCTGCCACGTAGTGTTGCGGTGGCCTGATGAAGTGTGAATGTGAAGGCGGTGTCGGCGCGGGTCCAGAGCACCACTCTGTCGCCCCACCGCGCAGCTTGTGAGGAGCCACTAAACCTTTCCGTGCCTAGACCTCCCCATCTGTGGAATGGGGTCAATACCACCTACCTCACAGGGGTGTTGTGAGGACTGAGAGTAACAATGTCAAATGTGTGTAGTACTCAGATGCAGGGGTGACATCAATGAAATCTGTACTGTATAAAAGCTACACAAACATGGGCAGACATTTGGTTAATTGTGCCAGATACCTAAAATGTATGTTCAGAAAAGCATTTTATCAGCTAAGAAATATGATTTATTTCTAGATTTCATGGCTTAATGAATTTTTTCATTGTTATATATACCAAAGAGGCTTACGGGTTCATCAATTACTAGGGTGACACCTGCTGGTTTGAAAATCAGACAGACTTGCCCGCTGGCCCTCAAAACGGGCGTGCGGTGGGACTCTAGCCAAGGCGGTGGCCGAGCCATCAGTAGAATCTCTGGAGTGAAGGATCCCCGGTGGGACATCACCTGGCACTCACTCTGTTTGGGAGCTTGAATCGGTTCTAAACTTGTCCTTCAGACCATTTGCCTAGGGCAGCAAATTCCATTTCCTAGAACTGCAAACTGGGAGAGGATGGAGTTAGATGCTGGCAGCCTGCCCCAGCTCTTTGAGGGAAAGTTCTTTCCCCTGTATCTAAGTAGCATGGGGCCCAGCCTCCATTCCCATTGGGAGCCATGAAGTTTTCTTGTTGATAGGTCTGGGGCAGCTGTTGGCAGCCCCTGGCCTTGTGGATGGTAAGACTGATAGTGTTGGCATTTGATACCATCCTCCATCTGCCAGAGGCCAGAAAGCCCACCTTCACGCCAGGCCCATCAGCTGGAAGGAACCCAGGAGGCCGGTCTTAGGGTTTCACAGTGAAATGCTGCCTGACACCAGGGGAAACTTGACATTGTAGCCTGCTTTAAAGAGGAATTCCAGGGGTGGGGATGGTGAGAGAACATTCCCACCCTCCTTATAATCCCAGGGCAGAAGTCAGCAATTGCTTAGGGATAAAAGATCCCTTGAGGGCAGGATTTGGTAAATGATTGACTTCTTTTTAGTTCCATGATCTGGAGATTATTTTTAGCTTTATAAATTCAGCAGTGGCGGGGCCTGCTGCAGAGAATCAGGTTAATGAGGTAAAGGCTTTTCTGAATATTTGCTGCCAAGTCCGCGTCACCAAGTTTCTCATTTAAAAAGCTGTCAAGAGATTTATTTTTTCATTGCAGGTTTTAAAGTGGAGATTCTTTTTTTTTTTTTTTTTTGAGACGGAGTTTTGCTTTTGTTACCCAGGCTGGAGTGCAATGGCACGATCTCGGCTCACTGCAATCTCCGCCTCCTGGGTTCAGGCAATTCTCCTGCCTCAGCCTCCTGAGTAGCTGGGATTACAGGCACGCGCCACCATGCCCAGCTAATTTTTTGTATTTTTAGTAGAGACGGGGTTTCACCATGTTGACCAGGATGGTCTCGATCTCTTGACCTCGTGATCCACCCGCCTTGGCCTCCCAAAATGCTGGGATTACAGGTGTGAGCCACCGCGCCCGACCAAAGTGGAGATTCTTAAATGGAAAATAGGTACTGCCCAGAACAAAGCTACTTGGAAACAGCATAAAGTGAAGCCTTTCGTGAGGGCTTGCAGGCTGCTGCTGAGTGGCAGTTTACAGAAGTTGTGGGGTGAGCCTCTTAGCAGGACAGAAAACAAGGCAGTGGCCCACCTGCAACCCCTTGCTAGTGCGAGCTGCTCCTTAAGCCTAAAAAGTAGGCTTTACTCATCCCTTCTGTTTATATACCAACCCGGGGGGTCGATTTGACAGGGAAACGTTCCTGAACCAGGAAGTTGCATTAACCGATCAGGCTTAGTAAGATCTCGGCCACAGCTGGCTGCTAGCAGTCCCCCCACGACGGACACAGCACACCACTGTCCCTTCGCTGCACTTTCTTCCTGCCTTAGGTAGTTGGGCTTGCCCACCATAGTTTGCTTTTGTAGTGGTTTGGCAAGGTTAGAAGACCTGGACCTCTCTGTCGTGGTGGGAAGTGCTTATTCTCTGGGCGCCTGCTGCAGAAGACATGGCATCTGAATGGGTTTCGAAGACCCGGCCATCTGCAGTAGAGGCGGTCTGTCCCGTTGCAAGGAGAGGAACTTCATGGAGTAATTATTCTACTCTTCTTTTTACAGGCACAAATGTTTATTTAAATATTCTAAATTGGATTTTCTTTCACAGATAATGATTATTCTTTCCAGTTCTTAAATAAATAAAACTGCACTTGATTTCACTCTGAGCCATGGTGTGATTGTATGGGATGCAGAAACTCGGAGGTCATGTCACTCCTGGGGAAGAAGTCTCAAGCCTTCAGCCTCAAACCACGTGTGTTTTGTCTCCTCAAATTTCTTCTGAATTCCTATCTCTAACCAGTTGTAACCATAATTCCTTTTGCCCTGCAGGCCACCACAGAGGTTTGTAAGGCCTTGGAACGGGAACCTCAGTGCCCTGAAGTAGCAGGTGTAGGGGAAGTGGACGTCGATGTGAATGATGTGTTTATGTGTTGAACGTGCTGGTCTGTGTTAGTATGTAGACCCAACCACTACATCAGCTGAACATTTGCTTAAATGGGACTTATCTGGGCATCAAAAACTTTTACAATTTTAGGTCATGTGGGTTAATTTTTAAAAGCATTTATTAAACTCCTCTAAATGAAAAGGGTACTCCGGAGGAAAGGAAAACTGCTTAGAAAAAGCTACTAGAGGGAAGGTTGCTGCTGCCCAGGGCTTTGCTATCCCTCCAGACGCAGGAGGGGTGCTGTGGTTTGGGAAAGCAGCAAGTTGTAACCGAGACCATCTGCCATGGAAGCAGGTCAGGTGCTAACCTCTGGCTGCGGGACCTCTGCACTTGCTGGAAAGGGAGAGAAGCTGGAACAAGGGTTCCTCGTTTTTCCGTGAGTCACTGCTCAGATTACTGGGTGGGACTTTCCAGTGACACCAAGTTAACAGTGGGACTGTAATTCCGGAGAAACTGGATTCCTTTTCGATAGGGCAGATGCTACTCAGCAGTGGAGTCTTGTTACTTAGAACTCAAACTGGCACAGCCCGAGGGAACACGACCTGCCCCAGCACAGGGCGTGGCACACGGACACTCGGTGCATAGGAGTGGAACGGGCGAGGGACTTCTTCCTGGATGGCCACTCCCTGAATGTTTTCCATGGGGACTGGGAGTCATCAGAAGCCACTGTGACAAGGATGAAGACTTAGTGCCATGCAAATGGGCAAAAGCAAAACAGCCCAAGCCAAAAAATCTGAAATTATGACCTGTCGGAGCTGCCAGGTTCACGATTGACAAGTGATTTCAAGAAATAATCAGCTGGGGACGGTGGCTCATGCCTGTAATCCCAGCACTTTGGGAAGCTGAGGTAGGAGGATTGCTTGAGGTCGGGAGTTCAAGACCAGCCTGACCAACATGGAGAAACTCCATCTCTCCTAAAAATACAAAAAACTAGCTGAGTGTAGTGGCACATGCTTGTAATCCCAGCTACACTGGAGGCTGAGGTAGAGTTCGCTTGAACCCAGGAGGTGGAGGTTACGGTAAGCTGAGATCGCACCATTGCACTCCAGCCTGGGCAACGAGCGAAACTTTGCCTCAAAAAAAAAAAAAAAAAACTGGCCAGGCATGGTGGCTCACGCCTGTAATCCTAGTACTTTGGGACGCTGAGGTGGGTGGATCACCTGAGGTCTGGAGACCAGCCTGGCCAACATGATGAAACCCTGTCTCTACTAAAAATACAAAAAAATTAGCTGGATGTGGTCACGGGCACCTGTAATGCCAACTACTCAGGAGGCTGAGGCAGGATAATCACTTGAACCCAGGGGGCGGAGGTTACAGTGAGCTGAGATTGTGCCACTGCACTCCAGCCTGGGCAACAGCAACAAGAGTAAAACTCCATCTCAAAAAAATTAAAAAAAATAACCATCATGGGAACAACCTTCTCTCCAGTGTCCCAGTCTTATGCCTGCTCTAAGAGCCTGACCTTGGGGACCCGTCCCACTTGCTAAGTCAGGTGTTCCCTCCGTGCGGGGACGTTGCCCCCATTTTTCTCTTTGGGTCTGTGATGATCCTTGTTTTTCGGTAGAAGCTCTTCGGAGAGGCTGTTCAGAGCCCAGGTGTTTCCTTTAGTCTCTGATGTCTTCTCTCTCTTTTCCGGGACACTTCCTGGATTATTCCTAAAGGGACAGTCTCATGTGAACCCACACCACTCCCCCATTTCACTGTATCCCTGCACTAAAATCCACTCGAGTGGCCGGGCACGGTGGCTCACGCCTGTAATCCCAGCACTTTGGGAGGCCGAGGCGGGTGGGTCACGAGGTCAAGAGATCAAGACCATCCTGGTCAACATGGTGAAACCCCGTCTCTATTAAATGGTGGCGCGTGCCTGTAGTCCCAGCTACTCAGGAGGCTGAGGCAGGAGAATTGCCTGAACCCAGGAGGTGGAGGTTGCGGTGAGCCGAGATCACGCCATTGCACTCCAGCCTGGGTAACGAGCAAAACTCCGTCTCAAAAAAAAAAAAAGTCCACTCGAGCCAAAGCTCTCAGAATGAAAGTGTTCCTGGAAGCATGCCTTCAGAACCAGGAAGGCTTGTCTCAGGATCTTGTCTACTTCTGAGTAGGAGCCTGTCCCCAGGGATGGTTGTGAGTTGCTGAACCATCAGGCTGTGTCAGCGGTTTCTGGTGACAGAATTCAGAAGCATCTGAGCTAAATAAACAGTCGGCCAGGTGCAGTGGCTCACATCAGTAATCCCAGCATTTTGTGAGGCCAAGGTGGGCAGATCACAAGATCAGGAGTTTGAGACCAGCTTGGCCAACATGGTGAAACCCCGTCTGTACTAAAACTATAAAAAAATCAGCGGGGTATAGTGGCACATGCCTGTAATCCCGGCTACTCGGGAGCCTGAGACAGGAGAATTGCTTGAACTCAGGATGCAGAAAAAAAAAACAGCTGTGCCAGGGAGGCTGGGGCCAGACTCTGTTCTGTCACCAGCGATGCTGTGACTCTGGCCACTTCAGCAACCCTCAGCACAGCCCCTAGCCTCTGATTCTACAGTGCTGTCCCCTACCCTGTGACTGAGTACATTTTCCTGAGAGCAATATACAGAAAGATCAGCCTGTGACAGTGTCGTGGGTGACTGCACAGCCTTCTCTTCCTCTGGCAGGTATTGGGGCACACACTGTGGCTCCGGGGAACAGTCCTCAGTCGCTTTCCCCTGGTGTCAGCACGTGCAGCTCCCAGTGGTGAAGGTAGACGCCGGCAGCAGCCATGGCTGTTTATAATGGTAAGATAGGATCCTGTCTATCAAAGTCACACCCGTTTTATCTATGAGGTCACTTGTTTAAGTCACTCATCCAGGCCGAGAGCCTCTCTGACTCCTTGTTCTACAAACAGACCCAGCTGAGGCCCCAGAGCTGGAGTCAAAGGGGAAAAGCAGCCTGGAGTTTCCTTTGTCCTCCTGTTTGCCTCAGAAACCACATCGCATGCCCGCTCTCACGTGGAGAGACTTGCTTTACCTGGCTAAGGCCACGCCGTTCCTGCTTTCATCCTGCGTGTTTTGTAGACTCTCTGACTGCTCATCCACAGGTGCTTGAAACCTGGCAAGAGAGCAGGCACTGGAATCTCAAGGGAGCAGAGCCAGCGGCTGCACGGCCTTAAGCTCAGAAACCTCAGAAAGCAACTGTGCCAATACTCATGGGCCCACCTAGTGCGTCATTCTTTTGGTCCTCAAGTATTTACTAAGGCCCAGTGGCTGGTGAGGGCCAGGACTGTGTGGTGTGCAGAAGCCAGGCCCTGCCCTGATGGAAGCCACGTGCTGGCAGGGGCAGACACACTGAGGGAGGGAAGGTAGCACGGTGGGAGATGAGGGCGCCAGCCAGGGGACCTGCTTTAATCCAGGTGGTGGCAGGAAGGCCGCTGCTGACCTTGGGGCACTCCATAAAAGCAAGAACCTACCCTCCCTGACCCTCTCCGAGGAAGTACCACCCCTGCGCTCACAGCTTCCCATCTGCCTCATGGCTCCAGCCCTGCCCCACTCCTAATATGAGCAGATACTCAAGGGTGACGTAACATCTGAGAAAAGCCTTCACCCTGGAAGATAGAAACCTACACAAGCTTAGTGGGTGTGGTGGTGCACACCTGTAATCCCAGCTACTCTGGAGGCTGAGGCACAAGAACTGATTGAACTCGGGAGGTGGAGGCTGCAGTGAGTTGAACTAGCACCACTCCACTCCAGCCTGGGTGATAGAGCGAGACTGTCTCAAACAAACAAACATACAAAAGACTTCACAAGCAAAAAGCAATTGGGAGGAAACACTTCAGGGAGAAAATTTCCAAAAGGAAAAAATAACCTATTGGCCTCAGAGGAGTAAGATATTGTGTCCATGAACAACAGGATGCTATCAGAAGAGAGAGGGTACAGAAAGAGCTGCTGGAAATTAAAACAACATAGCAGAAATGAACAAGTTAATAGAAGGGTTGGAAGACAAAAAGGAAACTCCTGGAAAATAACAAAGAGGGCCGGCACAGTGGCTCACGCCTGTAATCCCAGTACTTTGGGAGGCTGAGGTGAGAGGATCACTTGAGCCCAGGAGTTTCAAGACCAGCTTGGGCAAAAGGGCAAGACCCCATCTCAAAAAAAAAAAAAAAAAAAAAAAAGACAAAGAGATGGAAAATAAAACAGAAATGGTAAATTAGAGAGCCAGCCCAGGGGAGCCAATATCCAACAATAGGAATTCCAAAAAGAAAAAGTAAAGCAATCAACAAATTCAAAAATAAATATTCCAGCCTGGCCAACTTGGTGAAACCCCATCTGTACTAAAAATACAAAAATTCGCCAGGCATGGTGGCACGTGCTGTAGTCCCAGTTACTCAGGAAGCTGAGGCAGGAGGATTGCTTGAACCCAGGAGGTGGAGGTTGCAGTGAGCTGAGATCACGCCATTGTACTCCAGCCTGGGCAATGAGAGTGAGACTCCATCTCAAAAAAAAAAAAATAAGACAGGCACAAGCACAGTGGTTCACACCTGTAGTCCCAAAACTTTGGGAGGCCGAGGCAGGCGGATCACGCTACTACACTCCAGTCTGGGCAAGAGAGTGAGACTCCATCTCAAAAAGAAAAAAAAAAAGAAATATGCCCAAACTGAAGACCATGAATTTTCAGAATGAAAGGGCTGCTAGTATCCAACCTAATGGATGAAAATAGACTCACACCAAAGTGAAATCTCAGAACACTGGGAGCAAAGGAAAGATTCTATAAGCTTCCACAGAAAATTAGTAGGTCACATTACAAGGGTTAGGAATCTGAGCGCCTTCATTCAGCCTTCATGAACAACAACTGTGGAAGCTAGAAAAGAGAGTGATGCCTTCAAAGGAGACTCCTTTCCAATCTAGATTTCCAGTATAGAATCTGATACCCAGTAGAACTATCAATCAAGGGTGAAGGCAGAAGGGAGACATTTTCAGAACTGTGCCATCCCACATACTCACCTCCTGTGCAGTCTTGCTCAACAAGTTACTAAGTAGTGGGCTCCCCTAAAACCTGATAGGAACTTCGGGTGATAGGAGATGCGTCGCAGGGGTAGGGGCAGGTGGAATTCCCACTAGGGTAGTGAGAGCCCAGTCTCCAGCCATACCCTAGACCTCCAGGGCAACCAGTCTACCCTGGGGCGCAGTGACTCAGAGACAGGAACACTGAAGACTTGCCACCAAGATCCCTCTGCCACTAGAACCTCTTTGATGCCTGAGTATGGTGCTGCGAGACCCTGTTCCGACTCTGGTCCAGACTTGGCTTGTCTTACATTGATGTAGCTCCTTCCCTCTCCCCATGTCCTGTTGCCTGGATCTGCCCAGCAGGACCCTCGTGACACCCTCAGGAAGTGGCTTCCGCTTTGAGCTACTCCTGAGGGTTGGAGGGAGCAACTATGAGCCTAAAAGCAGAAACTCAGAGCAGCGCACTCACTGTGACCACGCTTTTGCAGATGTCCCACACCTGGTCTGCCCAGATGCCCCAACCCAATCCTCACGACGTGCCCAGCTGACTTCCCTGAATGGGATCCTGTGCGTGTGGCACCTTTCCCACGATTTTTCTTTTTTTTTTTTGAGACGGAGTTTTGCTCTTGTTACCCAGGCTGGAGTGCAATGGCGCGATCTCGGCTCACCGCAACCTCCGCCTCCTGGGTTCACACAATTCTCCTCCCTCAGCCTCCTGAGTAGCTGGGACTACAGGCACGCGCCACCATGCCCAGCTAATTTTTTGTATTTTTAGTAGAGACGGGGTTTCACCATGTTGACCAGGATGGTCTCGATCTCTTGACCTCGTGATCCATCCGCCTCGGCCTCCCAAAGTGCTGGGATTACAGACATGAGCCACCACACCCGGCCTTTGAGACAAGTTCTTGCTGTGTCACCCAGGCTCGAATGCAGTAGCATGATCTTGGCTCACTGCAACCTCTGCCTTTGCCTCCCAGGTTCAGCCCATTCTCGTGCCTTAGCCTTCCCCAATAGCTGGGATTACAGGCATGTGCCACCACACACGGCTAATATTTGTATTTTTAGTAGAGATGGGGTTTCACCATGTTGGCCAGGCTGGTCTCCAACTCCTGACCTCAGGTGATCTGCCAACCTCAGTCTCCCAAACTGCTGGGATAAAAGGCATGAGCCACCGCACCCAGCCCCCATACACATTCTGGAGAGTCTCAGTAGCCCTGGGAACATCCCCCAGCCTCACCTGGGCTCCAGCCGCTCCTTCACCTTGGCAATGGAGAGGACATAGGGCGTGATCTGCCTGGTTATGGTGGTCAGGTAGGCATTCTCCTGCCTCAGCTGGAGAAGGTCGTGGAGCTGGGCTGTGGAGCCAAGGCCAGAGCATGGGGTCCTAACCCTGAAGCATCTGGCTTCAGGTTTTTATTCAAGCTGGGCACCACCTAAATATCCCAACATTTCCACGATGACCTCTAGTTAGTCAGGTAACTGATGGGCATTTACTCAATGAGTCCTGATCTTACATGCACCATTTGGGGCCAGTTAGCAGCTGGGAGGTAAAGTCAAGCACTAAGCGGGAGAGTGCAGGGATCTGCATGTGGTTAGTGGTCGACTCTGACTTCCTCCCCTGCTAGCATGTGGGTTAACTCAGGGACAGGGAGTTCACTCAGCAGCCAGCTGCCTGGAACCTTCATAAATCTCCTGCTCATTAGCCACTCGCTGATAGGATTCCTCCCAAATCTGAAAGAGAAAAGCTGGATGTTGGATGTGGCAGTGATGGAATTCACAGTGGTGGCATTGCTATCTCTAGCCACTCAGATCTACAAAGCACCCCCAGCCAGGTCCACATGGTTTCAAGCAGCAAAGACTCCCAGGTTCCAGACCCTGCCCCATGAGGATCCTGTGGGCACAGACCAGGTCCTCTTTCCCCCCCTTACTCTCTTAGGGTAGCCCAGGTGTCCCCTGACAGGTGCAGCAGGAGTTAGAGTCCTTGGGAGGGCTACCTCCTGGAAGATGACCCTCATGCCCTCTAAGGAGGCGTGCTCCGAGGCAATCCGTGTGTCCAGCTGCAGGGACTTGTGCAGGACATCTCCCATGATCTCTGCCTTGATGAGTGAGTGGTGCTTGGTGAGGTCCCGGTGCAGCTCCTGTACCTGGTCCTTCAGGTTCTGCATCTCCACCTGCAGGCGCTGCACCGAGAGGCCGTGTGAGGGCGAGGGGTCACCCTAGGCTGGTTTTTTTTTTTTTTTTTTCTTCTTTTTGAGACTGAGTTTCGCTCTTGTCCCCCAGGCCAGAGTGCAATGTCTCGATCTCGGCTCACCACAACCTCCACCTCCCGGGTTCAAGCAAGTCTCTCCTGCCTCAGCCTCCTGCCTGAGAAGCTGGGATTACAGACATGCACCACCACGCCCGGCTAATTTTGTATTTTTATGAGATGGGATTTCTCTATGTTGCTCAGGCTGGTCTCGAATGCCCTACCTCAGGTGATCCACCCACCTCAGCCTCCCAAAGTGCTGGGATTACAGGCATGAGCCATGGTGTCCAGCCTCACCCTAGGCTGTTTTTACTGCCAGGGCCTTGGTGAGGAATTGCTCCCAGGTTCAGCAGCTGGGACAACTCGATTTGCCTGAGCATACCTTGGTGAGGGGTGGGTTAGGACACTTCCCGCCGGCAGATCCCTGGCCCCCTCACCCGGTAGGAGTCCTCATAGTGGCGGCAGTGCCGTGTGAAGGGCGTGTTCTCGCCCTCCACCAGCAGCACCTTGGTGCCCATGGATCGGTGCAGTGTGGGCTTTTGGACAGGTGACCTCGACATCTTTCCTACTGGGGAGGGGCAGTGGGGCCCCGTCAGCACCTTGGGGCCTGAGCCCCCTGCCAGCCTGGGGAGAGAGCCAGTTTGGATGCAGGGGAGGGGGAAGGGGAAGTCTGCCCCTCCCGCAGCCTCCCAGTCCCCTCCCCTGGACTTGGGGCTCTCACAGCCCTCTCTACCAACTGGAGCACAGCAGAGCCACTGAGAGCTTTGAAAAGCCTGAGGCTGAGGCCTCACCTGGACATCCACATCTATTTGTTTGTTTGTTTTTAAGATAGAGTCTCACTCTGTCACTCAGGCTGGAGTGCAATGCAATGGTGTGATCTTGGCTCACTGCAACCTCTGCCTCCCGGCTTCAAGTGATTCTCCTGCCTCAGCCTCCTGAGTAACTAGGATTACAGGTGTGTGCCACAACGCCCAGCTAATTTTTGTATTTTTAGTAGAGATGGATTTTCACCATGTTGGTCAGGCTGGTCTCAAACTCCTGACCTCGATCCACCTGCCTCAGCCTCCGAAAGTGCTGGGATTACAGTCATGAGCCACCACGCCCAGCCCAAATCTATTTTTAAAGTCCATGGAGCGGGTTCCAGGGTGTGGGGCCAAGAGCATGTCCATGGGAATGCTGCCAGGGCTAGGACCGAGGAAATGGTGTGTTCACCTCCATGCTGCACAGAGGACATGTGAACCCAGTTTTTCTTGGTCTTTGGGGCCCCTGGGCACACACATGCCAGTTTCAGCATTTCTCCTAACTCCTCCTCAGATGAGCTCAGGAATCAGGCCCCCTTCGGCTTCAGGCCACCGAGGTGGCAAGAGCTCAAAGCCAGGTCTGCCATGGGCTTCAGGTCCAGGACTTCCTGTTCCCCTACTAGGTGGACTCGCCCTAGCCATTGCCTGTGACCAGTCACTGTACCGGGAGGGTGGCGAGCTAAGGATGGAGGAAGGAAGGGTGGCACCTGGCTTTTCCCTGACTATCTGGCCCTTCAGTACCCACCCTCCCTCATACCCCAGTGTAGGAGACCACCCGCCTGCCCCGTTGCTGCTCACGTGTTAGCACCACCCACTGCAGCTGCCACCCGGCGAGGCCCCAGCAGCAGCAGCGGCTCCAGGCAGCGCGCAAACTCAGCTCGGTGGTCACTGGCAATCTGGGCGTCAGGATGGGGTCATGAGGTGGCCTCCACTGCCCTGCAGGCCCTCCCCCCCTACCCTGGCCCACCCAGACCACTTCACACCTTGCTGCTCTGCGCAGGCCTTAGGCGGTGCGGCCGTGTTACGATGCCCTGCAGCCTCTCCATCAGCTCCTGTGGCAACCAGGAGGGCCTCAGGCTGGTGGGGGTGTGGCAGCCAGAGGGCAGGAAGAGGGAAGATGGAGGCGGGGCAGGAAGAGTGGAGATGGAGGCGGGGCAGGTCTGTTTTTGGTACTTTACTGGGTGTCACTTGGTGGCTTCAGCCTTCTTCTGGGACTCACCCCCACCCCATCCCCAAATCCACAGGAGAGGGGTGGCTGGACTCCAGTGGCATCCTGCCCCATGGGGACTGGAGGCTCATGCCCCCTTCCTGGCTTCACTGTCCTTTTAACAGTGGCCTTAATTGGTTTGCAGATGATGGAGCTGGGAGGGGAAGGTCAGCCCCAAGACCCCTGGTCCAGGCTCCAGGTGACAGGCTGCCCACCCCTGAGTTGGATTTGGTCTGCAGGGTGGTTTCCTGGTGGGGAGGGGGCATCCGTAGCTGGGGAGGAGACTCACGTAGCCCAGGTCCAGGAACTCAGCCTTGTTGGCCAAGCTGAGGAAGGAGGAGCAGATGACCAGATGGACCTGGTGGGGGGAACACTGCTCAGTACCTGGTGGGGAGGGACCCCACACACACACCCTGAGATCCCTGTACCTGCAGGGTGGGCAGCAAGGTGGCCAAGTGAGAGAGCTGCTCCTTGAAGGCCTTGTCCTTCTCTTCATATTGGCTGGGGGAGGGGGATGCCTGGTCTCCAGGGGGCCAGGAGTAGAACCCAGCAGTCCCATCCCCCTGCCAGCTTCACATGTCCGTCCCCACACCCCTTCTCTGCACCCTGAGCCATGCTGCCCTCCTCAGCTGGGTGGACACCCAGATGTCTTGCTCCCCAGGGTGGGCTAGGGCCTGCCCAGGCTCTGAGCTGAGGGCATGGAGGCCAAGGGGCAAGGGGAGAAGGCCCCCCCTTCTCCACTCACCTCTGCACAGCCTCAAGCAGCAGCATTTTCCTCTCTGCCAGTCTGTCCTGGGAGAGACCGCGGGCATGCTCTTGATTTGCACCCTCAGCCCTGCCAACTCCCACCATGCCTACCCCCCCCACCACAGCCACCTGCTGGTTAGGCTAGGTATCTCAGCATCCACTGCCTGAGGGCTGGAGGTCCCCTCCCTTTAAAAGTCACCTCTCCAGGAAGTCTTTCCTGACCACCTCACATCCCCACCACCAGCCTGGGGCAGGCCCTGGTCTCCCCTCGGAGCTCTCCTACCAACTCCAGAAAAGTGCTTGGTGCAAGGCCTGCTGCCCAGCTAAACTGGAAATCCACAAGGGCGAGGGGCCGGCCATGTCACCAGCTCCCTGCTGGGTCGTTTACCCCCAACCTCCACCCCTTACCTGCATGCTGCCAAACAAGGCGTGGATGGCGTCCTCCTCCTCGGCCGCGCTGTGCCGCACCTCCTCCACCATGGCCTGCAGCAGCGCGATGGCCTCCCGCGTGGCTGTCTGCAGGGCCTTCACGGCCTGGGCACGGGGCGGGGTCAGGCTGGAGGGTGCCGCCGCGCGGACCCACACCCCCGCCCCCGCGCGCCTGCCCCTGCCGTCACCAGCACCGCCTGCTCCAGCCGCTCGCAGCCCTGCACATAAGCCGATTCCAGGTCCACGCAGTGCGCCCGGCTCTCCCTGCGGGAGGCTGCGGGTGAGGCCAGCTCCGGCCGCTCCAAGGCCCCTCCCCTCGCGCCCCCTCTACGTACCTCTGCATGTCGCGGAAGCAGCGGATGCACAGCAGCAACTTCTTGTCGGTGGAGAACAGGAGGTAGGGCTCTGCGTGCAGCGCTGCGGGCGGGCGGGCGGGCGGTGAGGGCTCCGGGCAGTTTCCTGCCGGTCCCCAGCCCTAGTCCCCGGCCCCGCAAGCCTCACTCACTGCACTTCTGGGGCACGTCGCGGCTTCGCTGGCCCAGGGCCACGATGTCGTGACGCGCGAACATGCGAGCCCGGTGCGTCTCGTCGCGGCAGCGCGCGCACAGGGGCTGTCCGCACGTGTTGCAGAAGTACGTGGTCTCCACGTCCTGCGGGCCGAGAGCCAGCTCAGGAGCGCCAGAGCCCGACCGCGGCCAGCGCGGGAACCGCAGTCGTCGCGAATCATCGCGTGTGTTTGTCCCAGCCGTGGTCGGGTGCGCAGCTAAACGCAGCCCTTTCCTGTAATATGGGCACTTGGCGCTCTGATATACCCAGTTTACAGATGAGGGCACTGCAGCTCAGAGGCTGGGTAAGTAGGTCCTTGCGGGTGTGGGGGTCGGGGGAGAGGGCAGAAACTGCTTTTATGAAACAAACGTTTTACCTGCAACAAAAGGGGTCTGAAGGCTTCTCACTGCCCTCTTGACACACTCAATAGTGGCCAAAAGGTGGTGTGCACCCTGGCCGTCCAGAGTCACACCTCAGCGGGGAGGAGAAGAGCAGTGAGGGCTTTCTGGTTATCCTCCCCAAGCCAGACCCAGGGCTGGGAGGCCAGGGCTTCTGTTGCAGCCCTGGTGTGGGGACAGGCAGTGGTTGACAGAATAGGCTCTCCCTGGAGTCTCTGCCTCCTGTTAATCCTCTCTGTGCCTCTGGCTCCCTCATTTCTCAGCACTTGCCCAGATCGCCGGAGCTTTTGTCCCAGTAGGGCCGTCCTCGTGGGATTCCCAATACCCTTTCCGGCCTCCGCAGGCCAGAGTCCCCAGTGTCCTTTACAGCCCAGGGGAACAGCATGCTGTCTTCACCTCCCCTGGGTTGTAGCTGCTTCTGTGCCACTTGGGTAGCAGAGGTCCTCCAGGATCGGCCCAGGCCTGCAGACTGGACCACCCTTCCTTCGTGAGTCCACAGCTCCACCCTGAGTTGGAGACCAGCGAGCCCTCCCCAGATCGAATGGCCACTATCTGGACACTGCCTCAAGTCCCTTGTTCAACCTCAGTCTCCCCACGGGTATTATGGGGCCCACATTCGGGGCCAAGGTGCCTTAGGGAGGTGCTGGGGAATCCACAGTGCAACCTGGGACCCTCCACTCCCCGCCCACCGCCCCTGCTGCCCCTGCCTGCTTGCTGCACTCGCGGTCACAGTTGGCACAGCGCACCGCCTCCAGGCCATCCCCCGAGCTGTCCACCAGGAACTGCATCAGCCGGTCCACCGGCGGGAGCCCACTGGGACCCTTCACCACAGTCTGGTGTCTGCAGAGAAGCCCAGGCCCCAATATTCTGACACCTCTTCCCCAAAGCTCCTTACCCCCACCCCTCACATTCCAGGCTGGAACTAAAAATAGCTGTGTTGGGGCGGGGGAGCCAGCTCTGGGGTCTGCTATAAATATCACAGCCAGTGCTCACCCTGCCCTGGTCCCTACTCTTGCCCAGTCCTGGGCACTCCTGCAGATAGTGGGGTTGGTGCCCCTGGTATCAAAAGCAGAAGCCTCTCCTTGGCATATTCTGATGGCATTGGGTAAATTAGAGCCACTCCCGGTGCCTGGAGCCCACCTAAAGTTAACTGTGGTTTTGTGGACCTAAGACTTCTAGGACCCCAAATCAAGTTACTGGAAATGTCCTGACCGGTGCTGGAGCCCCACCCTGACTTTTGATGGGAGGTCTTGAGCCAGTAACTGCAATCTCCAGGCCTCAGTTAAGCTGATCTGTAAAATGGGCTGAAGCCTGCAACTTCTGGGGAAAGAGCTAAGGACTGGGTGCAGCCCCTCCCGCTGGTTCTGCATGAAGTCGGAGCCTCACTCTCCTGGCGCCTGGATCCCAGTTCCGACAGAGCAAACCTTGGCCTCCAGGGACGGAGTCTGGGAGGTTTTTGGGAACTTTGGGACACTTACTGGCACAGCGGGCAGGTGAGGCGGCCGTCGGTTGCGAGGCCACGCAGGCAGCCGGCACAGAAGTCATGGAAGCAGTCCAGAAGACACGGGCGCTCGTACTGCACGTGGCACAGCGGGCACACCAGCGGGTGGACGCTGGCGGCGTCCAGGGCGCTCGGGCCCTCCGGGGGCCCAAAGATAGCTCCCGACATCTGCAGGAACAGCGCAGGCCGGCGGCTGGGGCGCGAACCGAGCCCCGCTTGAGCTCCCGCGGCCCCTCCGCCCGGGCGCTCGCGCCCTGCCTATCGGGTCTGGACCCAACGGGGCGTCCAGAGGTCATGGAGTGGGGAGCCGCTAGGACTTGGGGCTGGGACTTGGAGCGCCCCAGCGCAGGGAGAGCGGGCAGGGAGGGCTGGCGAGGGGCCGGGCCTTCCACCTGCCCGCTAGGCCGCCTTGCTGGGAGCTGGCCGCCCTCCGAGCCTCTCCCCCGCGGTCCAGCGCTCCTATCTATTGTGGCTCGGGGAGGCGCTCTGAGAACCCGCGCTGTTGCTCTGCGGAGTCACCGGCCCTGGAAGGTCAGGCCCGAACCAGGCGATGCTTCCCAGCCACGCGGGGCCTCCCTCTGCCCTGGCCTCTCCCACCTCTCCTCACTCCCACCCCCGGAATTTCCCGCCGGTGACGTCTGGGTGACCCGCAGGCGACGCCCCTTCCGGCATCCACCTTCCCCAGGGTGGCTGCTGCCTCGAAGAGCAGCGGGGCCAAACCGACCTGGTACTCGCCATCGGCTTTGTGCACTGTCTCGGGCTGGGCCACTCCACCCCCAGCCCGCAGAGAGGAGAGGCCAGGACGCCAAGACTCCAGGGACGGTGCCAGGCAAGGGTGCAAGATTGGACTGGCCTCTGCTCGTGATGATAGAGTCCGGAGCCCCAAGACCAGAGTGCCGTACAGAGCGGGCCGGAGGACCTTGGCTGTGGGGTCTTCAAGGGTGTAGGCCAGGCGCGGTGGCTCAGGCTTGTAATCCTGGCACTTTGGGAGGCTGAGGCGGGCAGATCACTTGAGGTCAGGAGTTCGAGACCAGCCTGGCCAACATGGCGAAAACCCGTCTCTACTAAAAAATACAAAAATTAGCCAGGCGTGGTGGTGCATGCCTGTAGTCCCAGCTACTTGGGAGGCTGAGGCAGGAGAATTGCTTGAACCCTGGAGGCGGAGGTTGCAGTGAGTTGAGATTGTACCACTGCACTCCAGCCTGGGTGACAGAGAGAGACCCTCATCTAGAAAAAAAGAAGAAGAAAAAAAGGTCCCGGCCCCTCACTCCCCCACTTGCTAATCCCTACTCTTCCATCAGAGTTGGGTCTGAACAGGTCATTGTGGCCCCATTTCCTCCACAGCCAATTGTGGGCACCAGAGAGCAGTGGACGCTCCTCCACCGAACTTCCAGTGCTTGCCAGGCAGAGTGAGACGCCCAGGAATCCCAGCCCTGCCTTTCGCTGGTTGTGGGCTCTCAGCCTGGTTACTGACCTCTCAGAGCCTCAGCACTGGGTTAAAATAGAACTGGTCTCCTGATAATGGGTGAGGCCCCAGTGGAACAACGTACGTGAAATACACATACTGGGCATTCAGGCATTCACATAATTAAGGGCTCATCCTCACTGCCTGCCAAGTTCCCAAAAGTGGGGTGGGTTTGGGTGGAAGGGTGAGAGGGGAGGCTCCCAGCCTTTCCAGCAGTGCCCCCTCTGAAGTCTGGGCCTGGCAGATGCGTGTAGATCCCAGGGTTTTCTCCAGCATGCCCTCGCTTCCTAGGTGGACGTGATCAGTGAGCTTTCTCCGCCCATGTTATCCTGAGTGCCCTGAGAGCAGCCCGTTTCTGCTACTCCTGCAGTTGTAAAGTCAAGGCCAGAGCCTGACCTGCAGTGGTGCTCAATGAAAACTTAGAAAACACTTGGAGATATTTGAGCTGTTTTTGTTTGTTTTGTTTAAGACAGGATCTCACTGTGTCACCCAAGCTGGAGTGCAGTGGCGCGATCTCAGCTCACTGCAGCCTCGACTTCCTTCCACCTCAGCTCCCGAACAGCTGGGACTACAGCTGTGTACCACCATACCTGGCTAATTTTTTTTTTTTTTTTTTTGAGACGGGAGTTTCTCTGCAACACCCAGGCTGGAGTGCAATGGCATGATCTCAGCTCACTGCAACCTCTGCCTCCCAGGTTCAAGCGAATCCCCTGCCTCAGCCTCCTGAATGGCTGGGACTACAGGCATGTGCCACCACGCCTGGCTCATTTTTTTTTCTTTTTTTGAGATGGAGTTTCACTGTTGTTATCCAGACTGGAATGCAATGATATGATCTCCGCTCACCGCAACCTCCACCTCCTGGGTTCAAGCAATTCTCCTGCCTCAGCCTCCCGAGTAGCTGGGACTACAGGCATGCACCACCATGCCCAGCTAATTTTTGTATTTTTAGTAGAGATGGTATTTCACCATGTTGGCCATGCTGGTCTCGAACCCCTGACCTCAGGTGGTCTACCAAAGTGCTGGGATTACAGGTGTGAGCCACTGCACCCGGCTTTTTTTTTTCCTTTGTATTTTTAGTAGAAAAATACAATGTGCTACACACATTGGGGGTTTTGCTGTGTTGCTCAGGCTGATCTCCAACTCCTGGGCTCAAGCACTCTACCTGCGTTGGCCTCCCAAAGTTGCTGGGATTACAGACGTGATCCACTTCGCCTGGCCTTGAGCTGCGTTTTGAAGGATGTGTAGGAGTTTGCTAGGAGAAAGAAGTGTATTCTAGAGAGAAACTAGCTATTCTTTTGAGGACCATCCCTAGCCCTGGTTCTATTTGTGGACCAAGTCCTAATGACAATAGTAGCCATGGCTAATGTTTATGGGCCAAGATTCTTTGTGTGTGTGTGTGTGTGTGTATATGTGTGTCTGTGTGTGTGTATATATATGTGTGTCTGTGTATGTGTGTATGTGTGTGTGTATGTGTCTGTGTGTATGTGTGTATATGTGTCTGTATGTGTGTCTGTGTGTGTATGTGTGTATATGTGTGTCTGTGTGTGTCTGTGTGTATGTGTGTGTGTGTCTGTGTGTGTATGTGTGTATATGTGTCTGTGTGTATATGTGTGTCTGTGTGTGTATGTGTGTATATGTGTGTCTGTGTGTATGTGTGTGTGCGCGCAAGGGGAGGGAGGGTGGGGAGATATGGGCCAAGATTCTATCTCAAGCTGTTTAATTTATATTAGCTCAGTTAATCTGGACAACACTCTTAGAAAGTGGAAAATATCACTGTAGAATGTGATGGAGCTGGTATAGGGTGGGTGCTTTGCTAAGGAATGATGCATTAGTTTCCCAGTAGGAGGTGAATGCTTCGTTCGTTTATTCATTCACGTCTGCATCTATTCAACTGGTATTTATGGAGCATCTACCATGGGCCACATGTTGTACTTGACATGGGACATAGAAGGGAACAGAGCAGCCAAGGTTAATCAAGTACACAAATAAACAAATAATGACAGGCTGCATTACATGCTTGCAAGAAAATCATAAGGATGATAGTCTGGGTGCCGAGGCTCATGCCTGTAATCCCAGCAATTTGGGGGACTGAGGCGAGCAGATCACCTGAGGTTAGGAGTTCAAGACCACCCTGGCCAACATGGTGAAACCCCCGTCTCTACTAAAAATACAAAAATTAGCCGGGTGTAGTGGTGGATGCCTATAATCCCAGCTACTCAGGAGGCAGAGGCAGAAAAATCACTTGAACCCGGGAGGCGGAGGTTGCATGAGCTGAGATGGTGCCACTGCACTCCTGCCTGGGTGACAGAGATTCTGCGTTAAATAAATAAATGAATAAATAAGGATGATGCGATGGAGGGCAGCTGGGAGGGGCTCGAGCTGAGGACCATACTAGGTAAGCACGATCAGAGAGGGAAACCGAGCTTGAGGCCCCCACAGAATAAGAAGAAACTAAGAAAAGCTGGGAAGCCTGGGTGGACAGGTGGGAAGTTGTGGCTCACAACTGTGATCCCAGCACTTTGGGAGGCCAGCATGGGCGGATCTCTTGAGCCCAGGAGTTTGAGACCAGCTTGGGCAACATAGCAAGACCCTCTTACAAAAAAATACTAAAACTTAGCTGGGTGTGGTGGCTCTCCCTTGTAGTCCCAGCTACTCGAGAGTCTCAGGTGAAAGGATCGCTTGAGCCAGGAGGTTAAGGCTGCAGTGAGCCATGACCACACATCAGCACTCCTACCTGGGTGACAGCGAGACCCTGTCTCAAAAGAAAAACAGAAAAAGAAAAGTTGGGAAAAGTTCCAAGCAGACGGAAGAGCAAGTGCAAAGCCCCAGAAGCAGAAAGAAACTTAGAGAATAGAAGACCAACATGGCTGCAGATGAAGGAGCTCAGGTGGGGAGTGGGGCTGAGCATGGGTGGGGACTGAGGATGCACACCTGTGGTCCCAGCTACTCAGGAGGCTGGGGTGGGAGGATTGCTGGAGCACAGGAGGTCAAGGCTTCAGTGAACTATGTTTGCACCACTGCACTCCAGCCTGAGCAACAGAGCAAAAGCCTGTCTCACAAAAAGAAAGAAAAAACAATAAAAGTCGACCGCTGAGAGGGAGGTTTAGGAAGGAGGAGCTGGCATTATGACCGAGGTGTGAAATCATTTCTTGGGCCAGGTGCAGTGTCTTATGTCTGTAATCCCAGCACTTTGGGAGGCCGAGGTGGGAGGATCACTTGAGCCCACCAGTTTGAGGCTGCAGTAGGTTATGATCATGCCACTACACTCCAGCCTGGGCGACAGAGCAAGACTCTGTCTCTATTAAAAACAAAACAGGCCAGGTGCGGTGGCTCACCCCTTTAATCCCAGCACTTCGGGAGACCTAGGTGGGTGGATCGCCTGAGGTCAGGAGTTCGAGACCGACCTGGCCAACATGGTGAAACCCCATATCTATTTAAAAAAAATTAAAAACAAAACAAAGGCCAGACTCGGTGGCTCACACCTGTAATCCCAGCACTTTGGAAGGCTAAGGCAGGCAGGTCATGATGTCAGGAGTTCAAGACCAGCCTGACCAATATGATGAAACCCTGTCTCTACTAAAAATACAAAAATTAGCCTGGCGTGGTGGCACATGCCTGTAGTCCCAGCTACTCTGGAGGCTGAGGCAGGAGAATCACTTGAATCTGGGAGGTGGAGGTTGCAATGAGCCAAGATGACACTCCAGTCTGGGCGACAGAGCAAGACTGTCTCAAAAACAAAACGAAACGAAACAAAACAAAACAAAACAAAAGCCAGGCATGCTGGCTCATGCTTGTAATCCCAACACTTTGGGAGGCCGAGATGGATGGATCACCTGAGGTTGGGAGTTCGAGACCAGCCTGACCAACATGGTGAAACTGTGTCTCTTAAAACAAAAAAAAGGAGAGAAAGCCGGGCACGGTGGCTCACGCCTATAATCCCAGCACTTTGGGAGGCTGAGGCGGGTGGATCACGAGGTCAAGAGATAGAGACCATGCTGGTCAACGAGGTGAAACCCCGTTTCTACTAAAAATACAAAAAATTAGCTGAGCATGGTGGTGCGAGCCTGTAGTCTCAGCTACTTGGGAAGCTGAGGCAGGAGAATTGCTTGAACCCAGAAGGCGGAGGTTGCGGTGAGCCGAGATCGTGCCATTGCACTCCAGTCTGGGAAACAACAGCGAAACTCCGTCTCAAAAAAAAGAGAAATAGTCCCTTGTGGGAGAGATTTAGGATTGCCAGCAGCCCTGAGCGCTTGCTCAGGGTCAGTTATCAGCCAGGGTCTACTCAAAAGACACCACACTACAGTTTTGTTTTTGTTTTTTTTTTTAGACGGAGTTTCGCTGTTGTTACCCAGGCTGGAGTGCAATGGCACAATCTCGGCTCACCGCAACCTCCGCCTTCTGGGTTCAAGCAATTCTCCTGCCTCAGCCTCCCAAGTAGCTGGGACTACAGGCACGCACCACCATGCCCAGCTAATTTTTGTATTTTTAGTAGAGACGGGGTTTCACCTCGTTGACCAGGATGGTTTCTATCTTTTGACCTCGTGATCCACCCGCCTCAGCCTCCCAAAGTTCTGGGATTATAGGCGTGAGCCACCGTGCCCGACCAGTTTATTTTTCTTTTCTTTTTTTTTTGAGTCAGCGTTTTGCTCTTGTTGCGCAGGCTGGAGTGCAATAGCATGATCTCGGCTCACTGCAACCTCTGCCTCCGGGGTTCAAGCGATTCTCCTGCCTCGGCCTCCTGAGTAGCTGGGATTACAGGCATGCGCTACCACGCTTGGCTAATTTTATATTTTTAGTAGAGATGGGGTTTCTCCATGTTGTTCAGGCTAGTCTGGAATTCCTGACCTCAGGTGGTCCGCCCACCTTGGCCTCCCAAAGTGCTGGGATTAACAGGCCTGAGCCACTGTGCCTGGCCCACACTACAGTTTTTAACTGAGGGAGTTTAATATAAGGGATTGTTAACAAGGTATAAAGATGTGTTAACTAGGTAACTGAAGGGATATAATGCCAACAGTATCAACTACAGGAAGTAGTTACCATTCCTAGGGTGGTGTTATTAAAATGTAGACCCTTGAAGGTGGGGAAGGGGGAGGCAAAACTCAGACATCTGAGGAGAGGGCGCTGCTTGGCTGGGGCTGCTGTCTGTGGGGAGAAGAAAATGAGGCTGGTTCTGCAAATGTTGGAATAAGTGCAGACTGGATTCCACTGCTGCTTCCAGAATGTTCCACTGCCACTGCCAGGATGAAGAAGCAAGAGGGGGTGACACCAGACAGGACAGGAATAAGCAGGAAGCAAAGCCCCCTATCGATAGAGAGTAAGTGGGATCAGCTGGCAAAGCAGAAGTGTTTGCAGAAGCCCAGCCCGGGCATTGTAGAGCCAAGAACAGCAGGTGGCTTTGGAGCTTGGTCAACCCGCTCCAGAGGCCTCAGTTTGAAGCTAGACCCATCCACTGTCTCCTCCAGTGATTGGACTTTTGCTAGGTGAGTACAATGAAGCCAGGTAAAGGGAGAGGAGGGTGCATGCCACAGATTTACAATTCAGGATCCTGGAATATAATTCCGGCGAGGGTGGTGCAGAGTAGCCCAGTTCAAGGGACTGTGGGCCTGGGGATGAGGACCTTTGCTTCTCCACATGCGGTCCATGGACCCGCAACATCAGCATCGTCTGAGCGCTTGTGAGAAATGCAGAATTTCAGGCCACTGAGACCGCAGGACTTGGAATCTGCATTTTCCAGATCTCCTGGTGGTCCTCAACTACATACTGGTTTGGGATGGGAAACTGGAAGGCGTGGGCTGGGAAACTAGGGGGTGGAATCAGCGGGTGGGCGGCTTGGATGCAGCAAGGGCAGGCGCTGGAAGACAGCGCCTGGGCATGAGCTTCCAAGCTGGGGCTTTTTAAGTAGGAGGAAGCCATAGTGGTCCGGCCTTGGGACCTCTGAACGAAATTTCCCCGTGGCCAGAAAGAATTTCCCCACTTCCACAAGTTAGTAGATTCGATTCCCATCCCACTAGCTGGTAATTTACAGTGTAGTGAATTTCCTTATTTTTTTTTCTTCAAAAGACTTTCAAAAAGTAAAGCCAACCCCTTTATTTGTCTTTGAGCTCGTCCAGTCCGGCTTCCCCCCTCCGATCGTTCGCAGTGGGACACCCCGTCCAGCCTCCTTACCTCCCCCGCAACCTTCCTGACCTGGGAGAGGACGCGTTTTGCATTCAGGGAAAACCAATCGCTCCCCATCATACGTAACCAAGAAAAATGGTGGCAGACGAGGGGCGTGGCAGAGCGATTAGTGTGGCCTGGACCCTGCGTGCCTTGCGCGCTGCGCCCTCTTTGCGTCTGCGTAGTTCGCTCATCTCCCTTTCTGCCTCCGCTGCCGCCATGGCTCCCGTGGTTAGTATGGCTCCGCGTGAGGCCTCGGCTCCAGGAGAGGCACGTGGGCCTCGCCGAGCCCGGCACCTACCCAGGCTCGCTGGGGACGGCGCCCTGCAGCGTCCAGCTGGGGTGGGCTGGCAGGTCGGCCGGAGTGGGCCAGAGCCCCTGCCGATCCCAGCACGTTGTAGGTGGAGGAGGCCCGAGGCCCGTGAGGGGGATCCGGGAGGTGTCGGAGGTCGGGGCTAGGGCTCGGGTACCAGCTAGGGGTTAACTGGGAGCTGGAGCCTGAAGACTGCGGGATGGGCTGGCCACTGGTCCTTGGACCCCCCCGGCCCTGGGTCTGATAACCTGGGTGGAGGGTGGGGAGGAAGAACGGTACCTGCTACCGCGCATTCGGAAGTCCACGGCCAAGACTCCGGGACGAATCCGCGGAAGGGCGGCTTGGTCGGCCTGCTTTCGGAGAGGAGGACCGCGTTTGAGGACATTTTTAGTGTCCCCAGAGGAAATTAGTTTATCAGGGCGCACTGTAGAGACCCAAACGGGTGGTACAGTGGTGCAGGGCGAAGGCTCTCATTCTACTCTCCTCTAGGCTCGGACTGGGCTGTGCAGCGCCCTCCTCCCAGGTTATTTGAGAAAGTTGTTTTTCCGTGTTCTTCGCCCCAATATCCTACTTTTTCTCTTTTGTTGGGACTCCCTGGTTAACATTTCCGGTTATTCTGCTCTTTCTGTCTGGTTGGGCTTTGAAATGCGTTTTGGTTTAAAACCTTGATGGAGAAGTATCAAGTCCATTGCTGGTAGGTCTCTTGATTGATCGTGTATGTCTGGGCTAGATCTTAAAGCATTCCTCTTAGATTGTTACTGGGAAGGGACATTGTAAAAAAAAAAAAAAAAAATCAGTGATTTTTGTAGTGGCCAAATGAAAAGTTGGTCACACATTTTAATGAAGTTCTTTTAAACATAAAGGAAAGAAGATACGATGTGTTCTTAGAAAGGTCTCGAGTTCTGCAAGGCTTTTAAACGTGAAAGTACAGGTCGCTAGGATGCACAAGTGCATTAATGGAGTCAAATTTGTAGAGGAATAAGATTAACACGAGCTTCTTCGTAAGGGTGAAGAACCTAGAACCTTGTAGGATGTACTTTGCCGGGTGATTTGGAAGTAATAATGCATAGGTTAAACGAGGTCAGAAGTTTTTGATGGTAGTGTTATAACAGGATCTTAGGTTTTACCCTTAACCTTGTCCAAGATAAAGTGGACAGGCAGCTAGAATACTTTGCAATTCCCTTCACTGTTCATGAGAAAGTGAATGGGACAGGATTAAGGGAGGTGAGCTAAGATGGATCAGGACCCTGCCCTGAACATGTAGGACAAGGATTGATTTCACTTGAAAATTGTGGGTATGCAAGGCATTTTGTATGCCTGTACCGTAATTTTGGGGAAAAAAAACCAGTATTTTTTGAAATTGTATTTGGAAATTTTAGGGCAAATAAAAGGAAATGTTCATTTTATTGTGGTTCATAAACTAAGAGACTTTCGTGTCTGTAGAGACGAGGGAGGCTGGAAAGTTAGAGTGGGTCAGGAGTGCTAGAACGATTTCCCCATCAAAAGGGCGTGACCTCAGGCCCCCACACTTGTAGAGGAGCTTCTGCCTGCATTATACCTCTGCCGCTCAGGCAATGATGCTTCTTGGCCCTCTTGCAAAGGGAACACAGCTTCGTGAGTTTTGTATTTGTGTGGACTTTCATACCTATGACATTTCTGGTTCTGTTAATCTTGTTTTTCTGACTGATTGAATCTTCATCTCTGTTATCGTTTGTGTATTTTCTTAGAAAAAGCTTGTGGCGAAGGGGGGCAAAAAAAAGAAGCAGGTTCTGAAGTTCACTCTTGATTGTACCCACCCTGTAGAAGATGGAATCATGGATGCTGCCAATTTTGTAAGTTACATCCTTATTGCCACTTGGGCGGTCATGAACATTTTGAGATAACTGTTGAGAAAACCTCCTGGGGTACATTTCTGTTTTCAGGCTTATAGGCAGCCTCACAGGTCTGGCTGTATCATTTCACCCTGGGGGTGTGGGCAGATTACTTGTTTGTTTCCAAGTCTTGCTTCCTCTTGTATGTGCAGCAGTTGTGAGGAGTAAAGGAGATGGGCTTGGAATTTAAGCAGGAAGGGCTCTAGCACAGAGGTGTTAGAGGACTACCTTGTTTTTCTCCTGTAGTTTCCACACATGATTTTACTTAAAAGTTACTGAGAAACAGACAAATTTCACTGGGTGCATGACATCCCCCTTGCTCTTTTTTCTTTTTTTGGAGATGGAGTCTTTCTCTATTGCACAGTCTGGAGTTCAGTGGTGAGATCTTGGCTCACTGCAGCCTCCACCTCCCAGGTTCAAATGATTCTACTGCTTCAGCCTCCCAAGTAGCTGGGATTACAGGCATGAGCCACTGTGCCTGGCCTCTCCTTTGCTCTTTTGTGTGTTTAAACATAAGTAGGGGACCCTGATCTTGACTATGGGTTGCCTGTCCTGGGCCTCACTGCTTAGATGTGGAGCTTTGGACAAATAGCAGCAGTTCCTGAAGCTTTCTATATTATTAAGCATCTGAGCTTCAGTCTTTAAAGTACCCAGCTTGGCTGGGCTCGGTGGCTCACGCCTGTAATCCCAGCACTTTTGGGAGGCTGAGGTGGGCAGATCACCTGAGGTTTGGAGTTTGAGACCAGCCTGACAAACATGGAGAAACCCCATCTCTACTTAAAAATAGAAAATTAGGCTGGGCATGCTGGCTCACGCCTATAATTCCAGCACTTTGGGAGGCCGAGGCGGGTGGATCACGAGGTCAAGAGATCGAGACCATCCTGGTCAACAAGGTGAAACCCCGTCTCTACTAAAAATACAAAAATCAGCTGGGTATGGTGGTGCGTGCCTGTAGTCCCAGCTACTCAGGAGGCTGAGGCGGGAGAATTGCTTGAACCCAGGAGGTGGAGGTTGGGGTGAGCTGAGATCGCACCATTGTACTCCAGCCTGGGTAACAAGAGCAAAACTCTGGCTCAAAAAAACAAAATTAGCTGGGTGTAGTGGTGCATTCCTGTAGTCCCAGCTACACGGGAGGCTGAGGCAGGAGAACCGCTTGAACCCAGGAGGCAGAGGTTGCAGTGAGCTGAGATTGCACCATTGCACTCTGGCCTGGGCAGCAAGAATGAAACTCTGTCTCAAAAAAAGTACCCTGCTTGGTGAATTGTAATTGGAAGTTTTTTTTGTTTGTTTTTTTGATATTGCCCTGTGCTGATTTTTTTGCCCCTGTGTTTGGCCCATTCCCTGATATTCCTCTATCCTGTTGCAATCTAGAAGTTTTTTTTTTTTTGAGACGGAGTTTCGCTCTTGTTACCCAGGTTGGAGTGCAATGGCGCGATCTCGGCTCACCGAAACCTCCGCCTCCTGGGTTCAAGCAATTCTCTTGCCTCAGCCTTCCAAGTAGCTGTGACTACAGACGCACACCACCATGCCCAGCTAATTTTTGTATTTTTAGTAGAGATGGGGTTTCACCTTGTTGACCAGGATGGTCCCGATCTCTTGACCTCGTGATCCACCTGCCTCGGCCTCCCAAAGTGCTGGGATTATAGGCGTGAGCCACCGCGCCTGGCCCCCAAAATAATTTTTAAACACAAAATAATTATGGCCACGAATTTTTCAGAATGGAATTTGTGTAACCTCTTATAGTTTATTGCCTTTGTGTAGATGAAGTTTGCATCTGTGTCCTTCAAGAAATCCCTTATTTCCTTAGTTCTTTCTCTCTCCAGTGACTTCTGGCTTTTCTGTGTGGCCCTGAGGTGAGGAGTTTAAGACCAGCCTGGCCAACATGGTGAAGTGCTGTCTCTACCAAAAAAATATACAAATGAGCTGAGTGTGGTGGCGCATGCCTGTAATCCCAGCTACTCTTTCTCAGCTTTGGTGTATTCCAGTTTGGTATTCATATGTTGGCTCTGTCCTGGGGTTATTCCTGCCTCCCTCCCTCTAAGCCATTCCCTTAGCCCACTCGTCTGTGTATGTGATTGACTTTCCTTCTGGAAGCTTCTTTGGATAGAAAACTTAAGTCATTTATGAATCTTGAGATGCAGAATTCAAGATTTCTGACCTAATCACTTCGCCCTGTCTGTGGTTAATGTATAATTTTTATTTTATTTTTTTGAGACAATCTCACTCTGTCACCCAGGCTGGAGTGAGTGGTGTGATCTTGGCTCACTGCAGCCTCCACCTCCAAGGTTCAAGTGATTCTTGTGCCTTAGCCTCCTGAGTGGCTGGGATTACAGGTGTGTGCCGCCACACTCGGCTAATTTGAGTACTTTTTTTTTTGGTAGAGACAGTGCTTTGCCATGTTGGCCAGGCTGGTCTCAAACTCCTGACCTCAGGTGATTTGCCCGCCTCGGTCTCCCAAAGTGTTAGGATTATAGGTGTGAGCCACTGTGACCAGCCACATTTTTATTTTTTGAGAAAGGGTCTGTTGCCCAGAGTGGCATGATCCTGCCCCACTACAGCCTCAACCTCGTGGGCCCAAGTGATTACTCCCACCTCAGCCTCTGGAATAGCTGGGACCACAGGCATGCACCACCATATCTAGTTAATTTATTTTTTTTTGAGATGGAGTTTTGCTGTTGTTACCCAGACTGGAGGGCAATGGCATGATCTCGGCTCACCGCAACCTCTGCCTTCTGGGTTCAAGCAATTCTCCTGCCTCAGCCTCCTGAGTAGCTGGGACTACAGGTGCGCACCACCACGCCCAGATAATTTTTGTATTTTTAGTAGAGACAGGGTTTCACCTTGTTGACCAAGATGGTCTCGATCTCTTGATCTCGTGATCCACCTGCCTTGGCCTCCCAAAGTGCTGGGTTTATAGGTGTGAGCCACCGCGCCCGGCCCATATCTAGTTAATTTTTAAGTTTTTTTTTTTTTTTTTTTGTAGAAAAAGGGTCTTTCCAAGTTGCCCAAGCTTGTCCTGAGCTCCTGTGCTCAAGCGATCTTCCTGTCTTGGCTTCCCAAAGTGCTGGGATTACAGGCTTGAGCTACTGCACCCAATCAGTTAACGTATTTTGTATTAAAGTTTTAAAATAGAAAATTACAGGAATTTTGAGCTGAATGGGACTTCATGTCATTGCAGTAGCAAGAAGACAACTAAAAAGGTCCTTTTGGGACAAAGCTTCCTGAAGTACAAGGAGGGGAATGCCTTGCCCAGGCCCACACAGGGTTTGCAGAGAGTGTCTCGGGCTCCTGAGTGGCCGCTGCTTCTGCTGTGCCACCCATGGCCATGCTCAGGTTTAGAATTGTTTTTGTCACTAGGTCTTTGTGCTTTCTGCTACGTTGAAGGCTTATTTTCTGATAGTGCTGTGAACAGTGCTTTGTACTCCTGAGATTCAGAAGTTGCTTCTAGCTTCGGTTGCATGTACCTTGTGAAAGTTTTATTTATTTGTTTGTTTTTTGAGACAGGGTCTCTGTCCCCCAGCCTGGAGTGCAATGGTGTGATCTTGGCTCACTGCAACCTCTGCCTCCTGGGCTCAAGGAATTCTTCTGCCTTAGCCTCCTGAGTAGCCGGGACTACAAGTGCTTGCCACTACGCCTGGCTAATACTTGCATTTTATTAGAAATAGGGTTTTGCTGTGTGGCCCAGCCTGGTCTCAAATCCCTCCCATAGTGCTGGGATTACAGGAGTTCTTTATAAACATTTGGCCTTGAGTTTCCTGTCTCCTCTTGTGTTGCCCACTAAGCCTTTCACGTAGAGGCATGTTTGATCTTGTGTGGAAGTAGCAAGCATGTTCATGCTGGGATGTTGTCTCACTGTGTATATGTAAATGGGATTTGTTACCATTTTTTAAAAAGATTGAACATTTAAGAAACCAGTATTAAGGCCAGGTGTGGTGGCTCACACCTGTAATCCCCATGCTTTGGGAGGCTGAGGTGGGAGGATCACTTGAGCCCAGGAGTTTGAGACCAACCTGGGCAACATAGAGAGACCCCTTCTTTAAAAAAAAAAATTAAAAAATTAGCTGGGGCCGGATGGGGTTGCTTATGCCTGTAATCCTAGCACTTTGGTAGGCTGAGATGGGTGGAACGCTTGAACTCAGGAGTTTGAGATCAGCCTGGGCAACATGGTAAAATCTTGTCTTGTCAAAAAATACAAAAATTAGCCGGTGTGGTGGCACATACCTGTGCCACCTATTCTGGAGGCTGAGGTGGGAGGAACACTTGAGCCTGGGAGGTGGAGACTTGAGTCTGGGAGGTCAAGACTGCAGTGAGCTGTGATTATGCTGCTGCACTCCAGCCTGCAGGACAGGGTTAGACTCTGTCAACCAAAACAAAAAAAAAAATGATAAGTTCAGTGTTGGGAGACAAAAAAAATACTCTGTTGAGAGAGATGAACCTGTCACTTCATTGGTCAATTTAACGATTTCCACAGGAGCAGTTTTTGCAAGAAAGGATCAAAGTGAACGGAAAAGCCGGGAACCTTGGTGGAGGGGTGGTGACCATCGAAAGGAGCAAGAGCAAGATCACTGTGACGTCTGAGGTGCCCTTCTCCAAAAGGTACAGGAGGGAGGTGTTTGTGGCCTACGTGTACCCAGTGCTCAGCCTGCCTTTTCCCTGCATGGGAGTGGGGGCACCCGCAGAGTGATTGGTTTGCATCCGTTAATTTCTGGAACCATGCCCAGTGCAGGAGGCAGTGGATGAATGCTGTCATGGTCATTGACAACAGGCAACTTTTGGTGGTTTTAAAATTTTGCCTTTCACAGGGTAAAGGTTTTTAGGAGTGGAGAGTTTAATAGGCAGGAAGGATGGGAGAAGGAAGAAACTCCCCTGTACAGAAGACACAGAGGGAGGGGGAACTCCAAAGCCAAAAGAGGAGGTCCCCCAAGTATTATTTATTTATTTTTTGAGACAAGAGTCTTGCTCTGTCGCCCAGTCTGGAGTTCGGGGGCACGATCTTGGCTCACTGCAACCTCCGCCTCCTGAGTTCAAGCAATTCTGCCTTCACCTCCCCAGTAGCTGGGACTACGCCTGGCTACTTTTTGTGTTTTTAGTAGAGATGGGGTTTCACCTTGTTGGTCAGGCTGGTCTTGAACTCCAGACCTCAGGTGATACACCTGCCTTGGCCTCCCAAAAGTGCTGGGATTACAGGTGTGAACCAACGCCCCTGGCCAGGAGCTTTCCTTTTTATTTCCAGTTGTGTTCTTTTCTTTTCTTTTTTTTTTTTTCCTTGAGATGGAGTTTCGCTCTTGTTACCCAGGCTGGAGTGCAATGGCGTGATCTCGGCTTACCACGACCTCTGCCTCCTGGGTTCAGGCAATTCTCCTGCCTCAGCCTCCTGAGTAGCTGGGATTACAGGCACGTGCCACTGTGCCAAGCTAATTTTTTGTATTTTTAGTAGAGACGGGGTTTTACCATGTTGACCAGGATGGTCTCGATCTCTTGACCTCGTGATCCACCCGCCTCAGTCTCCCAAAGTGCTGGGATTACAGGCTTGAGCCACCGCGCCCGGCGTAGTTGTTTTCTTTTGAGTGCTACTGTGGCACTGGCCCAGGAATCTGAAGACCTCAGTTTAGATGGAGTCCACTCTAGGTAGTTCCTGGGGGCCCATTTTCTTTCATTTGTAAATGGAGACATGAATCTGCTAGTTCCTTCCTATGTTACGTGGTGGTTTTTGAGCATGAGGTTAAATACTTTACCAGTTGCTGAGGAATTTGACAGTGCGTACACATAGCTCCTTGCCTGGGGCTGTGGCTCTTTAGGAGCTTTTAATTATACTAAATCAAATAGTGGGAAATTTTAAGGTATGTTAGAACAAAGTGGTTGTAGATAAGCTTTTGTTTTTATTTTTAGCTATGTCAGTGAAGAAATGACTTGGGAGCTTAAGTGAAGTCCTCTTAGTTTGCCTGGGAAGCAGTGAGCTTGAGGCTTCCGGGGTGTCCAAAGCCTCTGGCCTGCTGGGCTGTGGCAGAGCCCTTGGGGAAGATTCTGTGCTCTTCCTGTGACCTGTTTACCAGGGTGGCGTGTCTCCTGACATGTGTCACTTTCTTTTTCACAGATTTTCTGTTTTTTATCCAGTGGAGAAGGGAAGGTGCCTTAATTGTCTATTACAGCTTTCCTTTCTTGATGATAATAGTTTTTTTTTTTTTGAGACGGAGTTTCGCTCTTGTTACCCAGGCTGGAGTGCAATGGCGCCATCTCGGCTCACCGCAACCTCCGCCTCCTGGGTTCAAGCAATCCTGCCTCTGCCTCCCGAGTAGCTGGGACTACAGGCGCGCGCCACCATGCCCAGCTAATTTTTGTGTTTTTAGTAGAGATGGGGTTTCACCATGTTGACCAGGATGGTCTCAATCTCTTGATCTCGTGATCCACCCGCCTCGGCCTCCCAAAGTGCTGGGATTATAGGCGTGAGCCACTGCACCCGGCCTGATAATAGTTTTATTTTCTTGAAACGTTAAGGTGTCCTTAATACAGAACTTTTTTTGCCTCTGAATTTGTATAGGGTTATTTTCTTCTTTTTTTTTTTTAACTTTTATTTATTTATTTATTTTAATAGAGATGGGGTTTCACATGTTGGTCAGGCTGGGCGTGGCGCCTCACACCTGTAATCTCAGCGCTTTAGGAGGCCAAGGTGGGCATTCCACAAAGTCAAGAGTTCGAGACCAATCTGACCAACATGGTTAAACCCTGTCTCTACTAAAAATACAAAAATTATCTGGGCGTGGTGGTGCGCGCCTGTATTCCCAGCTACTCAGGAGGCTGAGGCAGGAGAATTGCCTGAACCCAGGAGGCAGAGGTTGCAGTAAGCTGAGACTGCACCATTGCACTCCAGCCTGGGTAACAAGAGCGAAACTCCTCAAAAAAAAAAAAAAAAAAACCACAACCTTCACCTCCTGGGTTCAAGCAATTCTGTTGCCTCAGCCTCCTGCATAGCTGGGATTACAGGTGCCTGTCACCATGCCTGGCTAATTTTTTGTGGGGATAAGATTTCACCATGTTGGCCAGGCTGGTCTTGAACTTCTGACCTCAGGTGATCCACCTGCCTTGGTCTCCCAAAGTGCTGGGATTATAGCGTGAGCCACCGTTCCTGCCCTGTACAGGGTTATTTTTTTTTTAGCCTGATTTTTTTTTCCCCTGGGTGTTCTGTTACGGATTTTTTTACCTCCCTTTTTTTTAGATAGGGTCTTGCTCTGTCACCCAGGCTGGAGTGCAGTGGGGCAATCATAGCTAACTCTAGCCTCAATCTCCTGGGCTCAAAACAGTTCTGCCTCAGCCTCCCAAGTAGCTGGGACTACATGAGTGCCCCACCATGCTTGGCTATATCAAGAAAATTTTAAACCATCTGAAATTTTGAATTAAACAACCTCATCTGAATACAGTATGGTGGAAATAATTGACAAAAAAGTACTTTCTAGATGGAGTGACCAAATTAATTTATGTTTGTGTAGGGAAAAGTAGACAGAGTTGGACTGAGGTCTTTACACTTTGTGAAGATTGCTTTGTTGCTGTGGGTCACTGTTAATGTTCCTTGTTTTGAGATGGTGAGTCTGTTGGTTAATAACATTTGCATCCCTGTTAATATGTGAGGGATCTATCTGAGCATCTCATTTAGTCCTTGTCATGGTCTGAAAAGATGTTTAGCAGCAGGAGTCCCCTTTCACTCTGGGAGGAACAGCTTGGTTAGATTAATTGGCTCTGCTGTGGGTTTGTGTGGTGTGAAATTCCCTTTATGGCTTGGGAAGATTCGGAATAGCCAGTCTCAGGGCCGCATAAGCAAGCTGGTGAGAGAGAAGCCAAGATTGTGGTGCACTTCATCTTTTTTTTTTTTTTTTGAAACGGAGTCTTGCTCTGTCGCCAGGCTGGAGTGCAGTAGCGAAATCTCCACTCACTGCAACCTCTGCCTCCCAGGTTCAAGTGATTCACCTGCCTCACTGAGCCTCCTGAGTAGCTGGAACTACAGGCACCACCATGCCCAGCTAATTTTTGCATTTTTTAGTAGAGACAGGGTTTCACCATGTTGGCCAGACTGGTCTCCATCTACTGACCTTGTGATCCTCCCACCTTAGTCTCCCAAAGTGCTGGGATTACAGGTGTGAGCCACCTCGCCCAGCCATTTTCTTTCTTTTCTTTTCTTTCCTCTTTTTTTTTTTGGAGATGGGGTCTTGCTATGTTGCCCAGGATGGAGTGCAGTGGCTCTTCACGGGTACAGTCCCACTACTGATCAGCACGGGAGTTTTGACCTGCTCCATTTCTGACCTGGGCGGGTTAACCCCACGTTAGGCAACCTGGTGGTTCCCCCACTCCTGGGAGGTCACCATATTGATGCCAAACAGTGCAGACACCTGATCGGCACAGCGCACTACAGCCCAGAACTCCTGGGCTCAAGCGATCCTCCCACCGCAGCCTCCCGAGTAGCTGGGACTGCAGGCACGCAACACCATGCCCGGCTCCTTTTTTTCCCTTTTAACTCATCTATATTTGTTACAACATTAAGCAGAATGTGACTCGAGCACTACATTTCCATCCACAAGACTGGCTTCGAGTTATTTTTGAACAGCTTATGATGTGCTTAGGTACGCTAATAACTGCTCCTCCAAACAATACTTCTCTTTGGAAAACAAGCCCTGTGGAGAGTTCCATCAAGCTGCTTCAGTTTAACCGATTTCTAGAGGACTAGTACATGCAGAATTGGCAACTACAGGGGATGAAAAGTTCAGAAAGTAGATCTTACAAGATATAACAAATACTTCTAAACATCAAGGTATAAGCTTGGGAACACTTCGATAACAAGATTTGGTCTACTAAGGAATCTGGCTTGATAGCTGAACACTTTAGACCACAAAAAGTTAACTTGTTACATATATCTTACAGCACACATTACCTGGATCTGTTAATGTAAGCCAATGTGAAACTAAAAAAGCATTACTAGCTCTGCTTTACTGCAGAGCAAAGTATCACAGCATCGCTTAGAAGTTGACAGAAATCTTTATCTTCTCCTTATAAAGTACTTGTTGTCATGCTATTCAGACTTTTTAATGTTAACAAAAATAAAAACATCCTTGAAAATATATTATTACAGGAATGTAGAGTATTGAACAGGTAAGAAGTCATCCCTCAGCTGGAGCTTAGTCTACTTCTTCCATGCGTGATATGTCATCATACCTTCTAGGTGGCATTTCTTCAGTTACAGCTGCACTGGTGTCATCAGCAATAGGGTCATCTTCATCAGTACCTAGTCCAAATTTGATCATCCTGTAGATCCTGTTAGCATGTGTCTAAGGATCCTCCAGACTGAAGCTGGAAGACAGGAGCGCAGTTTCATGAAGCAGGATGACCAGGTCCTTCACAGACTTGTTCTTATCAGCCTCTGCCTTTTGCCTTAAGGTCTCCATAATGGAATGGTCAGGTTTTATCTCCAGGTGTTTCTTTGCTGCCATGTAACCCATTGTTGAGTTGTCTCTTAGGGTCTGAGTTTTCATGATTTTTTCCAAGTTTGCTGTCCAGCCATATGTGCTTGTGACAATACAGCATGGAGACGTCACCAATCGGTTTGACACAACCACCTTTTCAACTTTTTTCTCCAATGTCTTTCATGATTTCACAGAGGTTCTCAAACTTTGTTTTTTTCTCTTCCTGTTTTTCTCTTCTTCATCCTCTGGAAGTTCCAAGCCCTCTTTGGTGACTGACACTGAAGTCTTCCCCTCAAATTCCTCCAGCCGTTGGACACAGTACTCATCAGTGGGCTCAATCATATAGATCACTTCTAAGCCATGTTTTCGAAGATGTTCACAAAGGCTGAGTTAGCTACTTGGTCCTTGGTCTCACCTGTGCTATAGTATGTTTCTGGTTTTCCTTCATTCCGGTGCAGTAGTCTTTGAGAGAAACCATCTCTTCACCAGAGGCAGATGTGTAGTATCTCAACAGCTCTGAAAGCATCTTCTGATTTTGAGTCTTTGTGTATTTCAAGCTTTATGTTTTTAGAGAACTGCTCATAGAACTTCTTGTAGTTCTCTTTGTCTTCTGCCAGTTCAGTGAAGAGTTCTAAGCATTTTTTGACCAAATTCTTCCTGATAACTTTCAAAATTTTGCTTTGTCCGTCTTTTTTTTTTTTTTTTTGAGATGGAGTTTCGCTCGTTACCCAGGCTGGAGTGCAATGGCGCAATCTCGGCTCACCGCAGCCTCCGCCTCCTGGGTTCAGGTAATTCTCCTGCCTCAACCTCCTGAGTAGCTGGGATTACAGGCATGTGCCACCATGCCCAGCTAATTTTTTGTATGTTTAGTAGAGACGGGGTTTCACCATGTTGACCAGGATGGTCTCAATCTCTTAACCTCGTGATCCACCCGCCTCGGCCTCCCAAAGTGCTGGATTACAGGCGTGAGCCACTGTGCCTGGCCTGGCTTTTTTTTTTTTAATTAAAAAAAAATGTTGTGTAGAGACAGGGTTTTGCTATGTGGCCCAGGCTGGTCTCAAACTCCTAGGTTCAAGGGATCCTCTCACCTTGGCCTCACAAAGTGTTGGGATTACAGGTGTGAGCCACCATGCCCAGACCTTAGGTTATCTTTATGTAGTTAGGGTGTTGGGTGCAAAGGCCAGTTGTTGCCTTTCCGTAAATTATGAGTTTTATGGTGGGGTGTGATGGATCATGCCTGTAATCCCAGTTTGGGAGGCTGAGGAGGGTGGATCACAATATCAGGAGTTCAAGACCAGCCTGACTAACATGATGAAACCCTGTCTCTACTAAAAATACAAAAATTAGTCGGGAGTGGTGGCATGCCCCTGTAATCCCAGCTACTCAGGAGGCTGAGGTACGAGATTCAAGGAGAATGAATTGCTTGAACCGGGGAGGTGGAGGTTGCGGGGAGTTGAGTACAGTGAGTGGAGATTGCGCCACTGCACTCCAGCCTGGGCGACAGAGTGAGACTCCGTCTTAAAAAAAAGTCCGGGTACTGTGGCTCACGTCTGTAACCCCAGCACTTTGGGAGGCCCAGGTGGGGGGTATCACCTGAGGTCGTGAGTTCGAGACCAGCTTGATCAACATGGAGAAACCCCGTCTCTACTAAAAATACAAAATTAGCTGGTATGGTGGTGCATGCCTGTGATCCCAGTTACTTGGAGGCTGAGGCAGGAGAATCACTTGAACCCGGGAGACGGAGGTTGTGGTGAGCTGAGACTGTGCCACTGTACTCCAGCCTGGGCAAAACTCCATCTCAAAAAAAAAAAAAGAAAAAAAAATTAGTTTTGTGTGGTGTTGTGCATGCCAGTAATCCCAGCTACTTGGGAAACTGAGGCATGATAATTGCTTGAATCCTGGAGGCAGAGGTTGCAGTGAGCCTGGGGGCCACAGAATGAGATTCTGTCTCAAAAAAAAAGAAAATGTTTTCTAATGATCAGCTTGCTGTGGTGTGTGTTTAGCTCTTACCCTGCTAAAGCAGCAGTTGGGCAGGCTGGTTGAAAGTCTTTGTGTCCGTGCAGTGGCTCACGCCCGTAATCCCAGTGCTTTGGGAGGCTGAGACGGGCGGATCACAAGGTCAGAGTTCAAGACCAGCTTGAGCAATATGGTGAAACCCTGTCTCTACTACAATACAAAAAATTAGTTGGGTATGGTGATGGATGCCTGTAATCCCAGCTACTTGGGAGGCTGAGGTGGGAGAATTGCTTGACTCCAGGAGGCAAAGGTTGCAGTGAGCCAAGATTGTGCTGCTGCACTCCAGCCTGGGTGACAGAGCAAGACTTTGTCTCAAAAACAACAACAACAACAAAAGAAAGTCTTTTTTTTTTTCTTTTGAGACAAGAGTTTCGCTGTTGTTACCCAGACTGGAGTGCAATGGCACCATCTCGGCTCACCGCAACCTCCGCCTTCTGGGTTCAAGCAGTTGTCCTGCCTCAGCCTCCCGAATAGCTGGGACTACAGGCGCCCACCACCATGCCCAACTAATTTTTGTATTTTTAGTAGAGACAGGGTTTCACCTTGTTGACCAGGATGGTCTCAATCTCTTGACCTCGTGATCCACCCGCCTCGGCCTCCCAAAGTGCTGAGATTATGGGCATGAGCCACCATGCCTGGCAAAAGAAAGTCTTTGTGCTCTCTGGGCATGAGCGCAGTGGCAGGGTGTTACTCTGTCCCTGTGTGTTGGGTGGTGTGCATCATGTAGCAGGAGTGAGATTGCACATAGCCCTAAGAAGCAGTTCTCATCATCTAGACAACATCAAAGGGGGTTTGCCTCAGTGAGGTGATGTGTGCACAGTGCTTAGAATTCACTGGAAACCACTGATTCTCCATAAAAAGTATGGAGGTTATGGACTTAACTGTAAAACTTCTATCATGTTATCTTTCTCCAGTGGTCACTAAAGACCATTTTATAGGTGTTTGCTGCTGTTTCATGGACAACTGGTACATCTACTTATCTGCTCTTTCTTTTTTTCTTTTTTTGAGCTAGTCTCACTCTTGTCACCCAGGCTAGAATGCAATGGCACAACCTTCACCTTGCAATGGTTCAAGTGATTCTTGTGCCTCAGCCTTCTGAGTAGCTGGGAATCAGATGTGCACCACCCTGCCTGGCTAATTTTTGTAGTAGAGATGGGGTTTTACCATGTTGGCCAGGCAGATCTTGAACTTCTGACCTCAAATGATCTGCCTGCCTCACCCTCCCAAAGTGCTGGGATTGCAGATGTGAGCCACCGTGCCTGGCCTGCTTTCATTGTTATTGCCAATGTTGATGGCACGTGGCTGATACTCTGAGAGCCTTGGCTCGGTGTGTTTGCCTTGCCTTTGCCATTTTTGAGGCTTGGGAAAACACCTTGAATTGTAATTTTGAAAACGTTAAAATGCTTCAGAATGCAAGCACCGATTTGTCTAGTGTAGTTCTCAAGTGTCCTTTCTCTGCAGGTATTTGAAATATCTCACCAAAAAATATTTGAAGAAGAATAATCTACGTGATTGGTTGCGCGTAGTTGCTAACAGCAAAGAGAGTTACGAATTACGTTACTTCCAGATTAACCAGGACGAAGAAGAGGAGGAAGACGAAGATTAAATTTCATTTATCTGGAATATTTTGTATGTGTTCTTGAATAAAACTTGGGAACCAAAATGGTGGTTTATCCTTGTATCTCTGCAGCGTGGATTGAACAGAAAATGGAAATCATAGTCAAAGGGCTTCCCTTGGTTCCCCACTCACTTATTTGTAACTTCTTTTTTTTCTGCTTGAAAATTTCAATTCTCAAGGTAATACCAGAGTAGGAGGGGGTGACTTGACGGAACTGACAGCCTTGGGGTGGCAGATGAGGGTGTGGAGGTGTGGGCTGAAGGGAGTGGCTGTTATTTTAAAAGTGTGACAATTGTATCTGTTGCTGTTCGCAAACAATGATTCAGGATACGAGTGGGCTCCTCTCATTCATTAACAGAAAATGTGGCATCTTTCTAAGATTCTCTGTGGGAAAAAGTGTCAATAAAATACGGGTTTTTCGGTCATTCGTCTTTAATTTTTTGATTACAAATTTCTCTTGACGCACACAATTATGTCTGCTAATCCTCTTCTTCCTAGAGAGAGAAGCTGCACTCCTTCAGCATTGGTGTGTAGTCCGTCACTGTCCGTAAAGGCGTTTGCGGGATCAACTGTAAAAGTCCCAGGTTCTAAATTAACTAAATGTGTACAAAAATGAATGTGTAAGTAATGTTTCTACAAGTCTTTGCAACAAACTGTCCCTTTGGTCTCCAGCAGAGGGAGCTGTAGGAATAGTGCTTCCAGATGTGGCCTCCTGTGTGGGGCCCAGCCATCGGGGGCCCCCGATGCCAAGAGCTCTGGAAGCTCTGGTGAAGGGGGCCACAGAGGCGAAGTGACTGGGAAGCTTCCCATGCTAAGGAGATGGGAGGTGCCCAGGAAGTAGCTGCTCCATGCCACTTAGGCCATGACTAGATGTAATATCAGAAGTCATTCTACAAACTGGTGTGACACAGTGCACAGGTTAGAGAATTAAGAAGGGCTACCAAAGCTGGGAAAAGAGTTGCAATTGTTGCCGTGAGTGACTTTGAAAGAAGTTCAGACAGTAATGAAGTGTCTGTTTTAGAATTTACGGTGTATGAAATTCATGTTTCTAAAAGAGCTTGCCTACAGATGGTTTCCATACCTGAACTTGTGCTCTGAGTTGCATAGCTGGAAATTCAATGTTTGATCCTACCTTGGCTCCAATTTAACATTTGGTGCTCTGTGGATTAGTTGAACATGTTGAGGCTTTGCAATTTCACTTGTGTTAAAGGCTCTAGCATTTTCCATTTCTATGCAAATTTCTTTGAAGCAGAATTGCTTGTGTATTTCTCTGCCTTCACAGAAGGCAGAGTTTCTTTCAAACTTCACTGAGGCATCAGTTGCTTTTTGGCGATGCCCTTACCGTGATTATTAACTGTGACTTTGTGGCTTGAGTTTGCAAATTTTACTTGTTTGTTGCATTGATGTTCCCATGTAGAAAGTAATTTTTAGTTTGGTTGTGAAAAAACCCTGGGCTGAAGTTACCATTTAAGTTGAAAGAAGAAAACTAGTCCCAGATCTGAAAACTTGTAATAAAATTGAAACTCACTGGTTTTTCTATGTCTTTCTGATCTCTTGTAATGGAGTTTTGATCACGTTTTCTATTAAAGTGGCTAACACGTGGCTACTACTACTGTGCAAGCCTTTGTTTCTTTAAGGACTGGCATGTTAAGAACAGCTTTGTCCTCACAAATTAGTTGCTGTACCAACAGTTCTGTTGGTCTTCATTAGGCTTAGAAGAAACGATGTCCTTTATTTCGATGTTCTCCCCTTAGCTGTGCTGCTTGCCGCAGTGAGATTCAGGAGTGGGCTGTCACTAACTAGAATTTCTCCAGATGCAGAGCTTAGGGAGCAGCTTTGCCAGCAAATGCGGTTTTCTGATGGGGAATATGTGGTGTGCACTTGAATTCCGTCACAGCCATGACACCAGCTGTGCCCAAAACATATTGTAGACCAGTTTCCTTTGTATCTGTTTTGACTCACACCTCGCTTGCCTGATCGAAAATAGTTGAGGCACGGAGGCTGACTGGGGTCGTGGAGAGTTTCAAGCTGTGATTTAAGTTCATGAGAGTGCTGAAACAGGCGGTCGGTCTCATATCCGCCAATGTGAGTTACACAAACACCCTCATGCCCTTCCCTTGAGAGTGCTGGTACAGCCGAAGAAATGAGGTGTGTTAATGGTCACTGTGTGCTATGAACTAGTGTCACTTTTTTCTTTTGAGATGAAGTTTCACTCTTGTTGTCCAGGCTGGTGTGCAATGGAGTGATGGCTCACCTCAACCTCCTCCCAAGTAGCTGGGATTACAGGCGCCTGCCACCATGCCCAGCTAATTTAGTATGTTTAGTAGAGATGGGTTTCTCCACGTTGGTCAGGCTGGTCTCCCCACCTCAGGTGATTCACCCGCCTCAGCCTCCCAAAGTGCTAGGATTACAGGCATGAGCCACCACACTTGGCCAAAACTAGTCATTACTAAATGCAAAAAACAACAACAAAAAACTAAAGGCTTCATGTGTTTTGTCTCCAAAAGCCTCTGATCCCCCTTTTCCCATGGCACTTGGAGTGGTGAAGTGTTTGCTTAGTGTTGTACTCATACCTTTAGGAACAGCCAGGTGTTTAAATACATGGGTCCTAACTGCTCATGTGTGGTGTGTAGGACAGAGTGGTCAGAAACTTGAGGAAAGTGAGGGGGTTGGATGATACCAAGTGTCTTAAGACATTTGATGTCTGGGGCTATCTAGACGTCAGCCTTTTTAGGGGACACTTGATTTCCTGGAAGGTGAAAAGGACCCCAGTGGGTGGGGATAGTGGTCCGGCTGTTAAGTCACTGATAATGTCAGGGGAGCCTGGAATTTGGTTTGACACCTGATTTCACTTTCCATTTGTACACAAGTCTTAGACCCTTAAACTTGTCAAGTGTAGTAAGCCAAGAGCTGCTGGCCCTCCCGTGGGTCGGGGGGACTTAGGATATGGGACAGCTACAGATCTGGCAGTTGCAGGGACAGATCACTGGGGTGGCTGGAGTCAGAAACCACAGGGTAGGGGCACCATGGGAGTGAGAGATGGGCCAGGCCCCCGAAGGAGAGCTGGGTGGACACCTGCCCGAGTTCGCTGAGTCGTGGGGATGGGCCTGTATTTAGTGGAATAAACTGTGAGGTTGCTTCTCTTTGAGGGAGAAGAGGGTAGTAGAGAGGCTTGATGTGGGGATTTGCCATCCCTGAAAGGAGGTGGCCCTCCACCTATAGGAATCAGATGGAGACCACATGTTAACCGGTGCCATCATAGTGCTTATCTCTAGGAACAGGAAACTGAATTTCTAATCCAGCCATTTTCTTGTCTTTGGGATGGATTTGGGAATACACATTTTTTTTTCCCCCTGGGCTATTTTGGGCCCAGTTAAAACAGTCTGTAAAGGCTGTGCTGACCAGTGGAGTGAGTTAGCTACCACTGTCCCTAGAACCCAGAAAGCACCCATACAATGTTCTCAGACAGGCTGGGCCTGGCGGCAGGTGCCTGTAATCCCAGCACTTTGGGAGGTGGAGGCGGGTGGATCATGAGGTTAGGAGTTTGAGACCAGCCTGGTCAATATGATGAAACCCTGTCTCTACTAAAAATACAAAAATTAGCCTGGCGTGGTGGCAGGCACCTGTAATTCCAGCTACTTGGGAGGCTGAGGCAGAATCTCTTGAACCGGGAGGCAGAGGTTGCAGTGAGCCAAGATTATGCCACTGTACTCCAGCCTGGGTGAAAGAGTGAGACTCCGTCTCAAAAAAAAAAAAAAAAAAGTTCTCAGTTCTCAGTTCTCAGGCTTGTACAAGTGTTTTCTCGGGTTCAGGACCACGGCCCAGGACTGTCTTTTTGAGAAGCGCCCTCCTCTCCTGAAGCCCCAGCTGATTTGGATTCAGGTGATGCAGGGTCCATACTGAGAAAAAGGCTTCAAGAACAAGGAAAATTTTGGTGCAGCAGGTGGGCACTGTGGTCCTGAGTGACGCTGTCTCACACCTGCTGAGGAGGCGGCATGGGGCAGCTTAGAGCCATGTGGCTGCGAGGTGGTGTGCGTACAAGCGCTTCACAGGCCTTGAAAACCAGGCATGCTGCGTGGCCACAGCAGGGGTGTGTGCTGTTGAACAAACTGGCCTCAGGCAGGGCTTGGGGCTGCCTGGATAGGAGTTCAGGTAGCCCTGGAATGGAAACCGACTATGGTATGTGCAGAAGATTATGTGCTTTTTCTTTTCTTTTTTTTTTTTTGAGACGGAGTTTTGCTCTTGTTGCCCAGGCTGAAGTGCAATGGCGCAACCTCAGCTCACTGCAATATCCACCTCCCGGGTTCAAGGGATTCTTCTGTCTCAGTCTCCCCAGTATCTGGGATTACAGGAGCCTGCCACCACACTTGGCTAATTTTTTGTATTTTTAGTAGAGACAGGGTTTCACCATTTTGGTTAGGCTGGTCTTGAACTCCTGACCTCAGGTGATCACCCGCCTCAGCCTCCCAAAGTGCTGAGATTACAGGTGTGAGCCACCGCACCTGGCTGATGCGCTTTTTCAACTCTTTTCTTGGAAAAAGCTTTTTTTTTGAGACAGAGTCTCACTCTGTCACCCAGGCTGGAGTGCAGTGGCACAATCTTGGCTCACTGCAACCTCTGCCTCTCAAATTCAAGTGACTCTGCCTCAGCCTCCCAAGGAGCTGGGATTACAGGTGCACGCCACCATGCTCAGCTAAATTGTTTAAAAAAAAAAAAAAAATTTTTTTTTAGCTTTTTTTTTTTGTGACGGAGTTTCGTTCTTGTTACCCAGGCTGGAGTGCAATGGCGCGATCTCAGCTCACCGCAACCTCCGCCTCCTGGGTTCAGGCAATTCTCCTGCCTCAACCTCCTGAGTAGCTGGGATTACAGGCACGCGCCACCATGCCCAGCTAATGTTTTGTATTTTTAGTAGAGACGGGGTTTCACCATGTTGACCAGGATGGTCTCGATCTCTTGATCCGAGACCACCCGCCTCGGCCTCCCAAAGTGCTGGGATTACAGGCTTGAGCCACCGCGCCTGGCAAAACTTTTAAAATTTTTAATTATTATTATGTGTCATCAACTTTATTTTATTTTGAGACAGAGTAGTGCTCTGTAGCCCAGGCTGGAGTGCAGTGGCGCGATCTCGGCTCACTGCAACCTCTGCCTCCTGGGTTCAAGCGATTCTCCTGCCTCAGCCTCCCGAGTAGCTGGAATTACAGGCGCCCACCACCACGACTGGCTAATTTTTTTGTATTTTTAGTAGAGACAGGGTTTCTTCATGTTGGCCAGCCTGGTCTCCAACTCCTGACCTCAGGTGATCCGCCCACCTCAGGCTCCCAAAGTGCTGGGATTACAGGTGTGAGCCACCTCACCTGGCCCGTAATTTTTGTATTTTTAGTAAAGACAGCGTTTCTTCATGTTGGCCAACCTGGTCTCAAACTCCTGACCTCAGGTGATCTGCCCACCTCAGGCTCCCAAAGTGCTGGGATTACAGGCATGAGCCACTGCAACTGGCTGGAAAATTTTTTTTTTTCCTTGATGCTTGTATAATGAATATGTTAAAAAATATTTTAGTTTTTGAATTGCCACTGAGGTGTAATTATGAGCTCTCCGATCGGCAGACATGAGAATCGCGTCTACTGAAACAGTGACCTTCCCAATAGGCTTGTTCTCGCAACTGCAGTTTACTGTTCACCTTTTTAGGGGTTGCTTTTAACATCATGCATTTTTGGCCATTGTAATTAAAATGACCATTTAATATTTAACAATAATAAGAGCTCTCCTTTAAAAAGACTGGAGATTTGTAGTAAAACGTCCATTTGTTTCTAGCATTCCAGTTTGTGCTTTTGGACATTAAATAATATTACCTAGCTGCAGTCATCAGGAAGGACAGGATGGGGAGAGGATTATGACTGATGAGCATCTTGACTCTGATTTGTTGCCAAATGAAGCAGTTAGAAGTGTTCTTTCTTGAATGATATCTTGACTTTCTCAGCCTCGCCTTGGGAATTGGAGCCAAGGTTAATGATGGGGGCGGCTTTCTGGTGATGAGAAATATTGTAAGTCAGAGTTTTTCTACTGAAGGGCAGGGGACCTTTGATGGGATTAGAGAGGTGTTGTGGGGCTGGTAACAGGGGTGTGCATGTCAGCTTAGGGGTTTCTTCCCAGGTGGTTACCATTCAGGGAGACAGTTGGTCTGGAAAGAACGAGGAAGAGGCAGGTTTGGTTCAAGCCTCTCATCTGGGGCTCCCCCTGGCTAGCTGCTCCGTGGGGAAACAACCTTGGGAGGGGAGCCGTTTGGTTTCCTGGCCTGCTTCCCTGCAGAGGGTTCCTTTCCCCTTGCGGGCAGCCAGCACTGGGCTAATCTATCTACAGCGTGGTTAAAGGGTGTCTGGGAGATGGAGGGGTTCCCAACACCCTAGTCTTTGGTTCTAGAAGACTGGACCGACCTCTCTTTGCCCAGGAATGAATGCAGAGGGTCTTTTGTTTGGAGCTTGCTGGCAATTAAATTGGATGGGAAGAACCGGAGAACTGCTCCCTTCTCTCTGCCCTTCCCCAGCCATCCTTTGCCTCTGGCCAGTGGCCTGGACTCACGGTGGCTTGGGTTGTGGTGACCTCCCGAAGAGGTCTTGCACTGGGGACCCTTGGCCGAGTGGGCACAACTCGCCCGGCTCTACAAAGATGGCAGGACAGGGAGAGATGCCAGCATAACAGGGGCAGCGGTTAGAGCTGGTCTGGATGGGGCTCCAGCGGAGACTTCCTCCCTGCTCTTGGCTCCCCAAGCCCAGCTGATCTCGCTGGTCTCAGGTGGTTCCCCCAATGCCCCTGCGAGGCAGTGAGAGAGGGAGTCCCTCTGGGGTTAGAGAGCTGGCGGCCGGCCGGCCCCTGGAACTTTGCGTTCTTAAGGTAGCTCTAAGACTTGCCGCCGCGGAGACTGAAGGCGCTCATTTAAAATTCCAGTCTTGCTCCCGAGGGCTTTGGCCTCCATCTTCACCTTTAACGACCGAGGACTGGTGGCGGCGGTCCCTTTCGCTCCGAGACAGGTGTCGCTTCTGAGCGGGAATTTTGGGCACAGACGACGCAGATCCGCACTGCCGGCAGGGCTCTGCATGGCTTTGAGCTGGACCCAGCCTGGAGGGGCTTTTTGGAAGATGGCACGTGGGCGGTGGGAGCGGGGAAGCGGGTGAGGGGAGCCCGCCTGCGCGGATTTTTCTGCAGTAACCAGACCCACAGTCTCCGTCCTTTCCTCAAGTGTGGAACACGTTTTTCTTATAATCCTCTTTGGAGAGGAGGTCAGGAACGTACCGAGGCCGGAGCCGGGTGCGGGGCGGGTCCCTGCGGGTGTGAACCCAGTGGGGAGCGGGCGGCGAGCTGCCCTGGACACCCCTCCGCGCCGTTGGGGGACCCGGGACCTGGAGGGCGGAGGCTGCTTGCCCTGCCAGGGGTGCGCGGGGGCGGCGTTTCCCCGCCTCTCCCTGTGCCCGGGCTCGCCCAGCCCAGGCTGCCCGCTCGGCCGTCGGGTCCCCGGGCGCGCGGACGCCTCGACGGCTCCCCCTGCCGGGGCGCCCCCCCTCCCGGTCCCCACCCTAGACCAGCGGCTCAGGACTAGTCTCCCAACTTGTTCTTTGCTGTTAACTAGTCGCGCTGCCGGAACGATGGGATGGGGTTGCCACAGCAACCAGACTGGACGTCACAATCCGGGCATGTGTGCCGCCCCCCCGCCGTGCCGCCGTGCCTCCGGCGCTGCCGCCGCCACCCTCGGCCGGCTGCGGGACTCGGGCTGCGGGGCGCGGTGGGCGGAGCGCCCGGGCTTTGCGCGGAGCGGGCTAAGGCGGCCAAGAGCAAGGGGGGTCGAGACAGGGGGGTTGGAGGTTTGGGGGGCGGGGGGGGCAGACGGCCGCCATCTTCTCGCCGAGGCCGCCTCGCCCGCCGCGCGCGCCCGTCCGGCAGCGCACGGGTTAAGGCTGGCACCGCGCCCGGCGGGAGGGGGGGAGCCCACCTCCCCTTCTTTCCGCGCCGGGCATGCGGGGCCCACTGGGCACCGAGGAGGAGCTACCGCGGCTGTTCGCCGAGGAGATGGAGAACGAGGACGAGATGTCAGGTGAGCGGGGCGCGGGTGCGCCCGGGGCCAGAGCGGCAGGGGCGCCGAGGCGGGCCGGGCCGGGGGCCGGAGCGCGGGCTGCAGGGGCGGTGCGGCCGGGCTGGCACCGCTCAGGAGGGGTGCAGGGGCTGCAGGGCTGCGCTCCCGCCCGACTGGGGCCGCGCGGCCAAGGGCGCGGGCAGGGTGAGCGCCCGGGCACGGCGTGCGGGCGGCCAAGGGCGGGGTGCGATCCGGGCGCCCCGGGCGGCGACGCGGGCCAGGCGGGCCGGAGGATGGCGGGCGGGGCCTGCGCTGGGCGCCCGGGCCGGGAGGGGTCGCAGCGCTGCCGGGGTCAGCCCGCGTGCCCTTGAAGGGGGCGGGAATCGCGGTGGCTCCTGGAGCGGCGCACTCCGCGCTCGCGTCTCAACGCCGCGCGCCTCTGGCCTCGCCGCGGACAGGCGGCACCCAGCCCCTGGCCCATCTCGGCCGCGGGGCGGGCTGGGTGGGGCCCAGAGCGGAGTGAGGACTGGCGGTGCTTGAGGACACGGCGAGCGCCCAGGATGGGACGGCTTCCCTCCCGGCCCAGGAGGGTTCCACGCTGGGGCGCACCGGCTCGGACCTCTGCTCCTCTTCCCTGGCCTCTGGGCGCTGTGACCGCCGCTCCCAAGCACTTTACCCGGGCCGCCGGCGTCCTCCTGGCGCGCCCTGGCGCCCGCCGCTGTCTCCAGCACCCCCATTGCCCAGGGTGGTGGCGTTCCCTGCCTTGGCTACAGGCCTGACACCCCAGGGCCACCGCCCCTGCCCTTGCCATCTCTCTCCTTTTTTCTCTCAGAATTTAGCATACACGGGGCCGTGGGCCAGGGGTTGCCTTGTAGGACAGTTCTTGAGTTAACAGCTCACCATTTGTTTGGGATGTTTTCCCTCCCGGCACAGCTGGGCAGAGCCCCACCCTGTCAGCCACCCTGCCTCCTTTCTGGGAGACTCTTACTTCTCGGCTTCCCTACACCAAGTGTATGGCCTCTCTGGACTTCGGAGAGACTTGTGGGAGGCTGGAGGCTCTCCTGGGCCCAGGAATGTGCCTCTGGCCCCTCTGACTTCCAGGGGTGAGAAGATTCCACAAATGGACACCTCCAGCTCCTGTTGGAGGAAGCAGCTCAGAGTCTTCTCTGGAGGGTATTCCTACCAGGTGGCCACGCCCCCTGCCCCCTCCTGTTTGCTTGCTAGGTTCCTTGGTGGCTTTAATGCCGTGACCAGGCCCCTACAGGAGCCTGGCACTCACCTTGCCTGTCAGTCAGGCCAAGTTGGCAGGGAGCGTGCTGGGACCTGGGGAATAGGGGAGTCCTTACTTGGGGTGGGGTTGCCAGGACAGTGGTTGTCTGTCATATCCTCAGTCCTAGGAATCAGACCCATTCTTTGGAGGGGAAGACTCAGGCCCAGCACAGGCACCAAAATGAGTGGACACTTTCCACCCAGGAGGCTGGCTCCCTAGTAAGCCAGTTCACTGGTTTCCTCAGGAAGTTGTTTGTTGTGGTGTTTGGGGTGTGGCCCTTTTGTGGCATCGATGGCATTTCTGGGGCTGCACCCACCCCCCTGGTGGAGTCCCCTGGCTATCTTTCCCATCTCACACTCTGGCTCTCCCTGACTGTGTTGGATATAGAGGTTGGGAAAGGAAGGAGGCCAGGGAAGGTACCCCCAGTCTCATAGGCAGCCCCCTCACTGCTTGGGCCAGATAGGTGGGGCCCTGGTCATCCTGCCCACCACCCATTCTCCCCCTTGGTGGATCGGTCACAGAGCCTCCAGGAGTGCCCCCGGAGCCCTGCAGAAGAGCTGCCCTGCCCTGGCACCTCTGGCCTGGGGATTCTGCCCCCATCCCTCAGCAAGGCCAGCTACTCCACCTCCAGAGCCTTCCCAGGCTCCTGGCTTCTCTCCATGTTCTGGGTCCAAGCCTCTGTCCCCTCCTGATGATCCCCTCCAGGGCCTTCTACTCAGTCCTCATTACCACCTTCTGCACAGCAGCTGGGGTCACCTTGTGAACACAAGTCAGACCCTGACCCACATGGCTGCAGTCACCTGTGAAGCCCTTGTCCCGGTCCACACCTGTGCCCACTTGTTCCCAGCAGCCACACTGGCTTCCCTGCTGCTTCTGGAACACTCCACGCTCTGTTCTGCCTTGGGCCCCTCCCTGTGACCTCTGGCTGACCTGCTCTTTCCTCTGCTCACCGTTGCCCCCAGCTCAAATGTCATGATGGGGAGGGTCACCCTAGCCAAGGCAGGGCCTTCCGGTCACTCTGAGACACATCGTCATGCTTTCTTTGGAAGAGATGGGGTCTTGCTGTGCTGCCCAGGCTGGATTTGAACTCCTGTGCTCAAGCAATCCTCCTGCCTCAGCCTCCCTAGTAACTGGGACTACAGGCTTGTGTCACTACACCCCACATACTTGAAATGTTATCATCAGTTTCCTCCTGGGTCTGTGGGCTCCTCTTCAAGTGTAACTCACTTGATCACCTGCCGTGCCCAGCACCTGAAACCATACGTGCCTGAGAGATGGTTGTGGTTTCAGTATCTGAGGGCTGGGACTCCCTAGGTCACCCTGGCTCCTGGCTATGAGGACAGCCCCAGTCAGGTCTCCTGTCAAGTAACACTGCTGGCCCCCACTTACCCTGAGCTCTTCACCATAGCCCCTCTGCAGCCATGGGTCCAAGCTCTGCAGCGGCGACTCCCACAGACCCAGAGCCAGCTGGTTCCAAAACATGGAAGTTTGTGGCTGGAGGAGCTAGTGTTTTGGAAGCTGTGACAATGATTTTTCAATCTATGGCTGTGGAACTCATGACTCGTCTGATATTTTTCCTTGACTCTGCTCACCTCCCACCTGCCCCAGGAGTTGCTCACTCTCAGCAGTGGATTCTTGTTTCTCATGCAGTGGTGGTGGGGAGGAGGGGTTTGCCCCAGCTAGCTCTGGCATCGAGGCAGGTGTCTGGGCCAGCTCCCAGGAGGAAGGCAAGGTGGGTACCTCTTCTGGTTTGGGGACCAGAAGCTGCCAGATTCTCCTGGGAGTTGGGGTGACTGGTCGAAGCCAGGGTTCAAGAGCTGGTGAGATGAGACCTCGGATTCCAGCTCTGAGCATTAGCTGAGTGGTCTTGGACAAGCCATGTAGCCTTCTCCTTGGTATGCCCACTTGTAGAATGGGGACATAGCACTGGCTACCTCATAGAGGGTTATTATGAGGAACAGTGAGACAGTGCATGTGGAACATTTAGGTCACAGTGCCCAGCACATAATAGGCACTCAATAAACTGTGGCTGGTGTAATTAGCATCAGCCAAGGGGGGAAGCTGTTCTCCCTTCTCCAAGGAAATGCTTCTGATGCTTGCACCGTTAGCCAGTAAGCCCAGGGGAGTGGGAGGCTGGGTGGGAGGAGGGCCGCGAAGCCTGAGGTAGGACTGGAGGGAGGCAGGAGAGGGGATCAGAAAATGTGGCTCTAAGACCTCTTAGGGCCACTACTGGGCTGGTAAGTTCCCTGCCTCATTGGCCCAGCTTTTCCTAAATCACAGAGAAAGCTTGTGACCAGACCGGGCAGTGTCTGAACGAGGTGCCATCACTGCTCTGGCCCCAGTGACAGTTGACCCTAGCTGTGTGCCTGTCTTACGCTTGCTCCTTCAGGTTCAGGGGCCAGGAGAGAGTGACAGTCATGATTCCCAAAGACCGTGACTTTTTAGCCTGCACCCCTATCCCTGTGGAAGCATGGTTTGTGGGGCAGGGTGGGGGGTCCCAGGGAGCCTAATTGTATTTCACATGCTTTTCTGGGAGGAGGGAGGCAAAGTGACCAGCACACTTTGTCCAGTGGCTTCGTCAGTGGGTTATTCATTCTCATTCCAAGTTGATCAGGTAGTGAGATCCATCTATTATTTTATCAATTCATTCAGTCACTCATTCATCATCCATTCATCCACCCATCCATCCACCCATCCATTTATCTGCCGCCCACATCTACCTGTCTATCCACAAAACCATTCACCATCCACCTATCAACCCATATCCACATCATCCATCCATTCTTCCTACCCACTATTCATCCATGTACCATCTGTCCATGCTTCCCACCATTTACCATCCATCCATCATCCAGTCCATCCATCCTTCCATCCATGCATCTGTATATCTACCTGCCCACCCACATCTACCCATCTACCCACAAATTAACCAAGTAACCATCCACCATCCATCCACCTGTCCATCCATCCGTCCATCCACCATCTATCTATCCACCATCCATCCACCTGTCCATCCATCCACCATTCATTCATCCATCTGTCTACCATCCATCCATCTTCCCATCCACCATTCATGCATCCATCCATTCATCCACCACTCACCATCCATCCATTCATCCACCCACCATCCATCCATACATCCATCGATGAACCACTCATCCATTCACCCACCATCCATTCATCCATCCACCAGCCACTCACCCATTCATCCACCATTCATGCATCCACCCAACATCCATCCACCATCCATCCATCCACCATTTATCCATGCATCTATCCACCAGCAACTCATCCATTTCCACCCACTATCCATCCATCCATCCATCCCTCCACCATCCCTCCATCCATCCATTCATCCACCACCATCCATCCATACATCCATCGACCAACCACTCATCCATTCACCCACCATCCATTCATCTACCCAACATTCATCCATCATCCATTCATCTGTCCATCCACCATCCATCCATCCATCCATCCACCTATCCAGCCATGCATCCATCCACCAGCCACTCACCCATTCATCCATTCACTATCCATCTGTCTACCATCCACCCACCATCCATCCATCCATCATCCATCTATTCACTATCCATCCACCATCCATTTATCCATCCACCCATTCACCATCCAGCATGCATCTATTCACTATAAATTTATCAATCCACCCATCAGAGACTTCTGGAATATCTTCTCTGAGCTGGGTACAGAACACAATGAGTGTTGTCTAACTTACTGGGGCTTTTGC